AAAGACACACAGTCACACATACAGTAGCCTACACGCACACACATGCATGCATTCTTTCTACATAATCACTTATATGTTGTTGTCGTTATTTACATTTAATAAAGGACATTTCATCATGTTTTTTTTTATTATTTGAAATAAGATTGAAATATCTCACAATCTCACAATGTTGTAAATGGGTAGAACTGCATTTCAGTGCAAAAAAAAAAATCTATATTAATCATCATATTTAATACGATATAACAGTGGGTTTACAAACTAATAGTTTTAGCATCTGTTTTCAGCTTTAAAGGGATAGTTCACTTTGGAAATCATTTTTGGTATGTTTTAGCTTACCTCAAAGGCATCCAAGATGTAGGTGTCTTTGTTTACGCAGTAGTATCAATTAATTTTGATATTTTTAGCTCAAACCGTTTGTGTCTATCAGTCATATAATGCAGGTCTATGGTCACCACCTCAAAGAGCATGCACAGAGAAGTCCAAATTAAACATGATTAAATGACTCGTAAATGTAAGTACACATTGATGGCCTAAGACACGAAACGAGCGGTTTGTGTGAGAAAATGAACAGAATTTATATCGTTTTTACCTCGTGTAACCACAGTCACGTCCAAGTGATCTGAGGGCGTGGACGCTTTTGTGGCTGTGGTTACAAGAGGTAAAAAGGATATAAATACTGTTTGTTTTCTCACACAAACCGCACGTTTCATGTCTTAGGCCATCAATGTGTACTTACATTTACGAGTGCATGCTCTTTGAGGTGGTGACCATAGACCTCCATTATATGACTGACAGACAAAATGTTTTGACTTAAAAATATCAAAATTGAAACTACTGCGGAAACAAAGACACCTACATCTTGGATGCCCTTGAGGTAAGCTAAAACATATCAAAAAATATTTTCAAAGTGAACTATCCCTTTAAAAAAAGATCAACGGCTTTTCTATTGTTGACACTGATCTAACATTGTCTCATCAAATTTTGGACAGATTCGTCCAGTTACACACGTCTGTGAAATAAACATCAGCTGTTCAACCTGTAGGAACTTGGGTCAGAACTGTCAAAAATGACTAAAGCACACCGATCCATATAAAATGAGGTTCTTAATTGATTTTCGTGCTAAAATGTGCGCTGAACATGCAGGCAAAGACATTTATCAGAAATAGCCATTAACTTTACTTTAGTCTACATTTAACACAGAATACAAATGACTTTACTGTCCAACATCCGGGTTTAATGGCTGCTAAATGTGCCTGTGATTAGCCAACATCTACTTCAGACAAACTTCATGTAATTTGTCCAAATGGGAATAGTTCATACATTTTTAATATTAGGCTTTGAAATTCACATTAACGACCTACTAGATTGATGAGCTCTAGGGCCTCTTGATGTCACGCTCTCTGCCAACTAGCTGAAAACCAGCTTTAGATGGAATTGATGGTCAAGATGAATGTAAAAGAGAATCGTATCTGTAGTGTCCCGGCACAAAGCGAGTGAGAAAAAACCCAATCGAGACCTGCGAGTCTCTATTAGTTTAAGTTAAGCTCGTGGGTCAAATGTAAGGGCCGAATAATAACAGAGAGATCAAGTACCCCGGAAACCTCATACTGAAAACACATTTGCGTCCCGTGCCAGGATGCACACACTCCATGCCAAGTCTAGAAATAGGGGCGTTCATCTCAGCCAGGACGGGTGCCAAACTGACACCAATCTAATATGCAAATGAGTTGCTGGCTGATGATGTGGTTGCTTCTGTGGGGAGGATCACCTGCACCTCCTCTCACAGGACATGGTTTTCAAAGGGGTTTATCTCCTTAAACCCTCTAATTAAAATGAGAAATCCCTAAGCCACCAGCACTCATGCAAAAAAAGAAAAGAAAGAAAGATTATTAGGAAAATTCTGTGTCCCACACCATCTGCGACCCAGGACTTGTGGAGTTTTTTTGGGAACGAGACGGAGAGAGCGAGCGGGAGTGGGACTAACGTATGACAACACCCTTTCTCCACCCGTTAGAGGGGCTTCACACAGATAAATCAACATCACACCAGCTCTACATTGTTCATTCCTAATTACCGTTATTATTAACAAGCAATTCATTCCAGAAACTGTCTCTGAGGCTCTCAGGTGCGAGTTACCGAGAGCTACTGAGTGAACCTTCATTAACAACTATAATCAAACAACCTCCCTCTGAAGCACGCCGGCAGAGATCTCGACATCTGTATTGCATGTTTAGCATGGTCTCGGAAAGGTGGGTTGCGTCCAAAGTCCTGCACTTTAATAGTGTGTATTCAATTATTTGGGTATTATAAACATTTACAGACATACCAAGAACAGATACCTGGACAAACATGTCATGCATTCCCATGCATCTTAACAGAAAGCAGCCCTGGAAGTAGCCTACACAATTTGAAATCTGCCATCTTTGCCTTCACTCATGACAAAGCTGATTGGGTGATGGCACCCAAAAAATATGCATGAGCTCTTTTTTTAATTATTATAAGTCCAATGCATGTTTTAATACCGCTACAATTGAGGGGCACTTGTACAATAATCATTTAAAAGTTATTAAGTGATTTAGTCAGAATTAACAGATATTAAATGGCTGGAAAAAGAGGAAGATGCTCCTTGCAGTCAGTGTGATTAGATAATTGACCAGCTGGGGCTAAGCGGCCAAGTCCAGTGACATGTGACCTCTATGCATGTGACAGGCTGCATTCAAATAGCATAATTTTCTTATAACATAGTCGAAAACGTATCCGAATGTATTCATAAAACAGAGGCCAAAAAGGACTAGCTGCTAATTCAAAGCATTTTTAAATACTTGTTTATTGACATATATGTCGTTCTATCAATAACCATGAAAACTATTTATTCCGGTTTCGTGTTAGCTATAGGCTACAAGGCCTACATTTATTTATTTTTTAGTTGGAAAAAAACAACAACAACAAAAAAGATTGTTTTCAACAAGTCAAAACAAACAGCAGTGGCATAGGCTAAGCTTACCTGTCCTGTTCAAGACCATATTTTTCGGATATCCAATTTTCTTTCCAACGCTATCTCACGACCAACTCGTGCGAGAGAGTAAAATGTGACTGATTGGTCTAAACCGCAGTGACGGTTTGGTTTAGGGGCGGAGTCAGGGGAAGGTCGTTCGTATGAATTCATACGAATTGGGAAACTCGTAAAATATGTACGATTTAACAATAATTTTTACTAATTCTTGTGAGTGTGGTTTAATGCCTCAAACCATTAGATTCTTCCGCGCGGAATAGGGGAGCCGATGCACAACTCAGGTTACAAAACAATGTTCCTCCGCATAAGTTTTGTAGCCTAGTTGGGCTTCAACCACTAGATGGCCAAAAGTTACACCGTGTACTGATTTTAAAAAGTAGCAAATTTACCAAAATAAACCACATGTTGGTCCTTTTAGCACTTACACTTAAAACAAATCCATTAAAAATGTATGTTAAAATATAGTGGCCTATTTAAAAAATATGGTGCCCTAGTTCGCATGGCCTAGGATAGCAAAATGTTTAGAATTGCAGCATCAGATCTATTGTTTGCCCACCATAAAACACCATAACAACAATTTAGACATCGATTCATTTTGCATAGCCCGGCAGGACACATTAATCGTGTGGGCCAATCAAACTAACTGAGCACAGCTTTACCTCGGGACAGATTGTATTTGGTCATCATTTGGTATGATTCATCGTCCAATGATAGGATTTGGAACAGAAGTGTTGACATCAGAACACACAATGAAGCATCACACGTGGACAAGGGCTGGTGAGTGATCGTGAACATGGTAATAGTAGTTTACCTCCAACAATCCACACACAAATACACGCCCACAAACTCTTATACTCCCACATACATCTGTGCCATATACCACACAATCAACACAAGGAACTTATTTTAACTATTTAAATTCTAGTGTGTGTGTGTGTGTGTGTGTGTGTAGTGAAGTTCCTGTCGTTCAGCAGACATCCGGCCACTAAGGTGGTGCGGTTGCGAGAGCCCTTTACACGGTCTGAACGAAGGTCAAGAGGTCAGGCCTCTTCCCAGTGCTCAGAATCTCGGAAAGCACTCAGATGTATAGTTCTTGCAGGGTTATATACAACATAGATACATGCGTCCTATAATTCAAAGTCTTACTATGACTTTTTTAAATTTGCATAAATAGGCATTTGGTTGGGAAAAGTTGTTGATAGTGTAAATTATATATATAGGCCTATATATATATATATATATATAGAACATTCATTTGTTAAAACTTTATTTTGTTATACAGTAGGCGATCTGTTTCCATATTTTTGCCGTTTCACTTTTTTCCAAGTTTTTTTTTCTTTTAATTTAATTTTAAACTTTATTCTTATGAAATCGTTTTCACAGATGTCATTGTGACAAATTACCCCATATAGTGTAGCTATGTCCCACTATGTTAAATGGAGAAAGAACTATCCAAACTAATAACTGAAAAAGAATTGAAAGAAAAGGTTTTATATTTAGGCATAAAACGTTTATTTTATTGAAGTCTAACAATAAAAGGACTGTGGTAATAAGGCATGCGAGACCCTGTCAGTGATCACACATTAAATTTTGAACTAAAACCAAACACCGATCTAAAAGAAAGCAAGCCTTGAGTTGAGAACTTTCCACCGGCCTTATAGAAGCTTCGAGAAGTGTTGCTGCTCATTTTTCAGCTGTTCGATCCTGACAGCTTCGTCTCTGGGGCAGCATATGTTCTGCCTCTCTGAAATATCGCCACTGTGGGCTTTTTCTGACACCTCAACATCCCCACAGCAAATCAACTATCACATCGCACACAATCGGTGAATGAGCAGGTTGAATTTTTGCACCTGTCAAAAGTATTAATTGTTTTAAGACAACGTGATGGCTAATTAAATATTTACGCAGATTACGGTAGGCCTATTTTTTTTTTCGTTGAAAGTGTGAAAAGGAATCAATTAGCTTATACCAGAAATAAGTCTTGAGATCTATCTAGGCCTACTTATATAAAGCGAACTTATGTTGCATATAAACATTTATGACTGTTATGTAGGCCTATTTGGCTCAGCATTTTATCCGAAAGCGGTTCACATTGCATTCACTTAATATCACGCATTATAGTCGGGAATTGAACTCACCACACACTTTTGATTGTGGGGTGAAATTATGACAATGCACATTCGCGGGGGAATCGCTGATTTCAGGATCCTGATCCGCAGTCTGTCGCTGTTTGGCCCGTGTCCAGCTCTCTGCTGAGAGATCCAACCCAGACAACCTTTACTCTCCTAAACCCAGTGCTGAACAACATCTCATTTTACAATTAACATTGACTAAAATGCGTCGCAAAAGCATAAACTATAATGCACGAGAAGGATTGCGTGATTTTGGCAGGTAGGCCTAACCATAAATTAAATTCCTTTGTCCTCTGACTTTCAGGCATTTTCTTAGGCCTATTTGAACGCTACTTTAAATTTGTAGCTACTTAAATAACTAGTCTACCAATATTATCTTTGCACATTTTTAAAGCGTTGTTTTGTTTTTGTTCATTGGTTTATAATTTCCAAAACGAAATGCGACATTGTGGTTTAATTTTTTCTTAGTGCTTTTTTTTCTTGCGACACAACGAGGTTTAGATGTCCAATTTTTTTTAATTTTATTTAGATTGGCCTATGCATTTTATTTATTTTTTATTATTTTCATTTGATTTTAGATGCCATGTAGTCTATTCACTAAACAGTGTTTTCAACAGAGAAATGTATTTAATTAAACTTTATTTTACTGTACAAAACAGCTTGACAGTGTACAAAGACAGTTTCAGTTCTTTCAGTCATTTTCACACAAAATAATTCAAATAAAAATTCCGTTTGCATGGTGAGAAGTCCAAATGCACGAATCCACCACTGTAGACGTCCATGACATTTGCATGAATGATGCGTGACAAATATATTAAGGCAGGTTTTCCTGTGACATGAGTTCACTAGAAAGCACAGACTCTTTTCATTAGATTTTACATGCTTCAAATGCATTTGCTTACAGTGATTGTTCCGAGATTGTAGGCTACGCAATATCACCAATATTTATCGACGACTCTGCATTACAGAAAAGACAGAATTGCCAAACAATCTGTTGCACAATTACATCATCGTCTATTGTGATTTTTCCTTTATCATCCTTCTGAAAATTATGCGTAGACAAATGCGATTTATTTGAAGTGTTTGAATGCTCAATTGTCTACATTTATAAAGTTAAATAACACAAATTGAAATCAATGAAACAAACAAATTAATAACATACCATAATTATTTCATTTTCAGAATTACATCCAAATATTTTTAAATATCGTCACCTTCAAAGTAAATTGATTCAATAATTGCCTCTTCCTGGTGATCTTGGCGTGTAAATAATAATAATAGGCAATGGTTGATTAAATTTATTTAGCGAAAACATGTGCCTTGTGTAAAACATCACGAAATTTTCGTAACGAAAGTTTTATTCAAAGGAAATAAATAAAAAATCATGTTTTTAGTTTTTCATGTTACATTTCATAAACGAATAAACACATTTATGTATAACAGAATGATGAGATATTTAGTCTTGTTAACACTATAATATTTTGAACTTTGTGTGTGTAAACTGTTTAGACAAATTTATGTGTATAAAATAAAATAAAGGGCCAGATCGAGAATTATATATTGCATAGCACCCTTAACAATTATTGCTCTCATATTTTACTGAATGTTTATCGCAAATATTTAAATGAACTTATAATTAAATTATGCCTTTCGGGGCAAGAGACCTTAGTGACAGATTTTTAGATCTATATTAATAGGCTACTCATACAGGCCATTAAATTAAAATGCACACAAACAACGTGATACTTAAATATCATCCGCGTAAAACACAATGTTGTTAGTGGATTGTTTTCCCATCAGACCACACATTTTGTCGAACAGTTAAAAAAAAAAACAATTCGTTTAGGAACACTGTAAGCACATCTTCCATTTAATCAAAAATGATAAATAATAAAACATCCGATTGTCCCAAATGAGAGGACTTTATAAATAATACATGTGCGATTGAAAGTCCTGCATTTTCGCTCGATCCTTTTCACTTACATTTGACTTTTTCTGTCATTAATTATGAAAAGTGTTTAATTCGTCTTGCACGGGGTAAAACTGGCCACGGAGATGAACGTCATAGGGGAAATGAAGATCTGACGCGCCTCTCGCGCTCTGGCTGATGGAGGAGCGCGGCGGGACCGCGCAATAGCGCGTGCCGTAGTGGCAGCTCTTGCCGTATTCGATCGGCTCTTCTTGCTTGAGGGAAAAGATCCCGTTAAAGTTAATAGGAGGGCTTATGGGACCGTCGAACTGAGGGCTTCCGCATTCCGGCGAGACGCTTTCGTAGAAAGTCTCATAGGAGCTGCAGTAGCTGAACGGCCTGAAGGGTTTGACAGGATCTATGGAGGGTCCAGAGGGTGTCACCACACCCGGACTGTGGTAGGTCCCGTACACAGACTCGTACTGTGACCTACCAGAGAAAGACGGCTCGCTGCTGATCTGATCCGGGATGAAGTTCCTGGCGTTCAGCTGCAGACATCCGGCCACTAAGTTTGTGGTGGGTTGCGAGAGCCCTTTACACAGGGTCTGAACGAAGGTCAAGAGGTCAGGCCTCTTCCCAGTGCTCAGGATCTCGGAAAGCGCCCAGATGTAGTTCTTGGCCAGCCGCAGCGTTTCGATTTTCGACAGTTTCTGGGTTTTGGAGTAGCAGGGCACCACCTTGCGCAGGCTGTCCAGGGCGTTGTTCAGGCCGTGCATTCGGTTCCTCTCCCTGGTGTTGGCCTCCGTGCGCCTCAACTTGACCCGGTCTATTCTAGCTTTGGTCATTTTCTTTTTCCGAGGCCCTCTCCTCCGAGGCAGACCGTTCTCGTCCTGTCCGTCCTCCCTTTCGTCCTCGTCTTTCTCCGAATCCTCGTCCTCCATGGCGTGGGAGAGCGTCTCCTCCTTTTTAAACGGCTCTTGTTTATTGACCTTCATTTCACCCACGCAGTCCCGTGGAAAGTTCGCCCCGAATTGGGTGTCCATTATGACGGGATCCTCAAACGGAAGAGTCAGCATTGTGCTCTTGCTGGGGATGATGAGAAGATAATAGATCTTCTGAATCAATCAAACAACAGCCTAAACATTACCAGTCGCTCAATAAATACAATGGTGCACTAACATAATAGTGATACTGATCCTCTAATCAAATCAATGTACATTGACAAACACAACTGCAACAGGAATGAAATATATCAACTATCTTCATGTGTGATATTGCATGAGATTCGTGCATTCACGGATACAAGCCGTTCAAATCCGGTTAAAATGGAAGACGTAGTCGCACGGCACGGATGTCAATCCTTACCCTCGGACTGTCGTGCTTACCTGGAATGTGATGATGTTAGATGTCAGTTTTCATATTTCCAATTTTGAACTTTCATTTTCCGCGTGGCGTTTCAGCAGGTGAACAGCTCGTGCGTTTTTCTCACCTCCCCACTGTTCTCCTTGTCTCGCGCTAAGAGAAATGACACTGATGCCAACTGCCAGAGCTGGTACCCATGCCATCTGCCGCTGACGTCACGTGGCACGGGTTGGTCACGTGACCGGCTCCCGGGGGACCTGTATTCCTCCCCTGATCATCTGGCGTGTGCCGCCTCGAGCTGCGTACCACTGCAAAGCCACAAAGCAGCCTCAAACAAGGACCGGCCACCAGCATCCACCGTTAGAATCCGATGCCACGGATAAATGCTGTGATGCGGTCAGGGAATGTCATTTCGTAGTCTTTGCTGTTATAGATTTTCATGCAAACACGCATATAAGGGGTCTAAATCTAAATCGAGACAACAATAGTTTGTGATTTCTAGGTACATCCTGTAAACATGGAAAAGGAATGCTGGTGAATGACAGCAAGAATGGATGATTGATGGCTCTTGTTTGCTTGGTCAGTCTCTTCAAGGGCGTTTGCTAAATTACTGATCCTGTCATCATCGTACAGGCCATTTTCTTCTGTGACGTTCACTCGAATAAAGTGAAAACACCATGCTTTGACCAGGTAAATCAAATAAGTTGAATTCACTATATAATAGTGAACAGGGATTCTGAGATTTTAAACAGCTTTTTTCGTTCTTGTTTCTTCTATATATGAACGTAAATCTTGTTTCTTTTTTGTTTACACTCTTTCTCTCTCTCTCACACACGCACACACTCACACCATCCCTCCCCACCTCCCTCACACACAAACACAGACATCCACATTCACACCACTCAGTGTGCGAATGAATCTAACAAAAACAGGTCCAGGTCACGTTTCACTCCACAAAGTTATACTGTGCATAAAGAAAAAGCTTATTTTAGGAGAATTATTCTGTTATTATTATTCGGATTATGACATTGTGATGCTTCGCTCTCAAATTATGCAGTGTATCCAGACGTTTTTGGTCCTTCTCATTATTGTTATATGGTTATTCCATAATTTGTGCTGCACTGCATCTAATATTTTTTATTTAAATTAGTATAAATTAAGTGATATGCAAAAAATACAACCATCATTTATACCATCATTTTATGTTACATAATGTTAGCATTCAAAGCTAGATCAAATACAGTCAACCAGTAATATTGTGAAATATTACAATTAAAAATAGCTAACAGATTTTTATTTGAAATTTTTCAATATATTTTAAAATGTAATTTATTCCTGTGATTCAAAGCTGAATTTTTTAGCATTATACTCCAGTCTTCAGTGTCACACGATCCGCCAGAAATCATAATATGCCGATTTGAATGTTGAGAAGAGTTATGCTGCTTAATATTTTTGTGGAAACTGTGAATTTTTTTAAATTCTTAGATGAATATTAAGTCTGAGAGAACAGCATTGATTTGAAATAATAAATATTTTGTAACATTATAAATACATATAAGCCATACATATAAATATAAGTTAAATAAAGTAATATTATAATTTTCTATAGTTATTTTCAGTAACGAGAATGATTTTTTGCATTATATGATAACTGAAGGAAAAATGTGCTTAATTGTCATGAAAATAATTTATATTTCCATAATAATGGATGAATAACAATTTCCATCCTTAAAAATATATTAGCTTATTTTTATGTTTCGATTCATCATGTGACCTAAACATGTTCGTGACGGGTTTGTTGCCAGATTCAGCCACATACATGCATACACAGACTTTGGGTCTGGCCATCTCTGGCTGTTTCGTGTAGCATTTATTGTCCAGAGCTTTGGCTCCTCCCACATTAAGTCCTGACACTCATGCATTCCGTTATCAGTGAAAGCTCCTGCTGCTATTGAACCCGTGCCTGGCCCTGACTCATTCACATGCACACACACATTTATAATTCAAATCAGAAGCTCTTTAAAACCCCCCATGAGCATTTATCCCTCTCAGATGGACAACACAAAAAGCATAGCACCTCATAAATGACACGCAACACTTTTCTGCTCCTGTGTGAGATTAATTGGCTCTTTAAACACATTAACCAGAATTTGACAGATATCACTGGTCCTGTTAACAGCAAGCCACCTATCAGACAGACACAATCCCCAATGAAGAGTGTTAGTCATGAGGGATTTTTGGTGAAATAGAGGCTGCTGTGTTTTTCGTTGGGACGGCCAGGTTGATCTGCACTTATCAGCACAACACAAACGTAATGAACACAGCATACAGATGCAGTTTGCTGACAGCGATGGCTCAGTCACGCATGATTGGCAGGTACCCTTGGATGCTGTTGTTTAGAAACACACACACACACACACACACACACACACACAGTCCCTTCTGTCCCCCTCCAAAAATGCCTCAGCTGGTGACGAGCTTTCCGGTTCAACACACACACCAACATCTGATGAGTCAAACTTCCCCATTTCAGACTAATCACTTGACTGCACTAATTGCAAATGCAAATATGCAAATTCGTATTAATTAATTACTCTGTTAATTAGTTCTCTGGTCTTTTTGGGCAATAAATCATTGTGCTGCAGAAAGAAAAGGGGACAGGCCCATCCCGCATAAAATATTTAGCATGCACACTCTGAGAAGGACGGCGCGAAAGGACCTGTAACATTATAAAAAGAGCAAAGACCAGACAACAACAACACAAAGCAATGGCTGGGCCAGACACACACTCCCCTGACAGACCTGCTTTATACCCTGCAGACTCACAGTGGAGGACTGGAACATTCGGCTGACAAGAGCTGTCTGCCCAGTGATTTCATTAACACATTATCAGCTTTTAAGGACAGTGTGATGCCAGGAACAGGCAGTAAATGAAGGCATGGATGTTCACACGTCAAGTGGCGCACACACACACACACACACACACACACACACACACCCACACCCACACACACACACACACACAGTATTAAGATCAGTAGCTCTACTAAAGATGGTCTTTTGAGAGTTCTAGACGTCTGTTGATGGGCCTACTCGAAGCTTATCTCGAGTACAAGGATTTGATAAGGAATTACGTCAATAAAAAAATAATTCTAATAAAAGATTACCCCTCTCTGTTTCTTTTCTTTTTATATACATTTTTTAGAACGTAATTAAATATGATCAAATATTTTTTAAATAACCTAACAGAGTTGGCACACAAAGAGACCCGTGTGTACGACAGCCACCGTGTTAATGGTTTGACAGTATGGTATATGCATAATTCATAATTCAGTTTTTAAAAATGAATTACATAAATTTTTCAGAGAAGGACGGGCGGCTGCATGCAGAAGGACGCTGTTGCTTAAAATTGCCCATTTTTGTGAATTATGCATACTATCAATTTCTATATATAAAAACTAGATCGACTAGGCCTACATGTTAAACTAAATAAAAATTAACTTCCAATATACAACAATAAATCTTATAAACATAGCCTATTTCAAATGTAAAACAAGTGAAATATCAGGCTACATAAAAGTCCATTTTCCAAACCTTGTTTTTGTCTTACCTTGACTCACTAGCCTATGGTATGCATCATATTCTGAAGCTGTCGGGACGGATTTAACGGGAAGTGCATACCTTCGTCACGTCTACGCGTGTTTCCATCGTGTCCGTAAATAAAGAAAAGACGTTCCGGCTACTATAAGCGCGTGTCAGATCAGATGCGGTGGAAGGAGTGAGGACATCTTATTTTGCAGGAGAAATCAGCTGTAGCCATCTATATGCATCCTAAATCACTTCCCTAGTGGGCGAAAAATAGTGACAAAATAGTGACAGTGCCGGCCCAATGTGACAAAAGAAGTAAGTTATCTTCCAAGTATGCAAAACGTACCCAGAAACTTCTTCAGGCGAGATTCTGAAGTGTGCAAACGACGGACATTTTAATATCGGGAGAGGATTTATGAATGGCAGTGAAGCAATAGAGTGCCGAAGTTACCATAGGAAGTTACGACGTCACTTTGTAGGCCAAAATGCGGAAGTGAGTTAGCATTTTAGCACTTCCGGTTCCCTCGCTCTAAAGTCTATGGGATTTTTGAATGGGTTTTTGCTAAATCGCCTGAAATAAGGTCTGTGGTGAACAAAGCCTCTAAATATTTTCACGTGTTGATCTATGACTTAAAACACACCAGTTATAACCTGCTTGTAGTTTTTTAAACTTTATTGTGTCTGCTTGTGTTAAAAAATTATATAGGCTTCAAAATGTATAGGCTAAATTTTGGATTAAGACAAAACGGGTCAACTCTTTGTTGAACACAGATCTTATTTTTTGCGATTTTCCAAAAGTCTATGGGGAAAATGCATTTTTGATCGAGGGAATATAGTAGGCATATGTTTAGACTACATTCCTGCTACACACAGTCATGTACAACATAGGCCCACTTTTTTAGCGGTTGGTGAAGTAATTATTTAATAAGATTAACTTACAGAATAAGTTCCTACTCAAGAAAGTATGCGATTTGCGATGCAGCCAGTCAGATTCATCAGTGCAGAACAGCACCAAAGCACAACAAAAGTTATTACCAAAAAATATTCCTCCACCATTTATCTAAAGATCCTGTACAGAATTTCTTTATCAACAAATATGTAGTTCTATAGCCATCCATTTCCCAAACCTCTGTTGGTCCACAGGTCTAATCTAATATAATAAAATATTGTTAATTTGCGTAATTTTCTATTTGGTGAAATAAATGTACGATTTTTTACAGAAGAACTTCACTGCGGCTGTGGGGCATCAATAGTTTTAAAGTTCACTTTTCTCATTAGAATTGCTATTACATAGCCAAAGCAAAATATGCCTTTGATGGAAAAATATTAACTTGTGCCATGCTTGAAAACAAAGACTTGATTTCCCCCTGTGATCTGCATGAAGAAATGATCTGCTCAGCGCCGCTGATCCACACTGTTAAGTGATTTTAATTTCACTCTTGTACCTAGCCAATGCTATAGTCCAGGGACTAGTGGGAGGGGATGGGGGAAGTGTGTGTGTGTCAGTGGTGAGGATGCATCGTGCCAGAAATGTTGATGTGACTGTGATTTATGTCGGAATCGTGCCAAGTATGTCCATCAGGGTGAACCCTCTCCGAGCCTCACCCTGTCCACATCTCTGACTCCGACTGTCTCAACACGATTGCTTAAATCCGATGGATCTGGTAAGAAGGTAGATGTGGTCTAAAGCGATTTGGCATTGGGTGTAATCTTTGGCATGGGTTCAATGGGTCGTACCCTCTCTTTTGGCCCTGTGAAGGCACACATTGGACCGCCATTGTCCTTTACAGTCTCCTGCAGTCCCTTGCTGTTGTTGCCCAGTCCAGATTAGGTTCTTCTGGCACATCTCATGCTGGGCTTCTTCCTAAAACCGTTTGCCATCCGCTTGCGAAGCAACCCTGAATGTTGCGATGTTAGGGCCATATTTGGCTCCTCATGAGACCAGAATGTGTTTTTGTCCACATTTAAATGAAAGAAAAGATCCATTTTTTTTAATGTAGAAAATAAAAATAGAATCTTACACTCTCAGAAAGAAGGTACAAAAGCTGTCACTGGGGCTGTACCTTTTCAAAAGGTACACTTTTGTACCTTAAGGGTGCATATTAGCACCTAAAATGAACATATCAACACTTAAAATGTACATATTAGCACCTAAAATGAACATATCAACACTTAAAATGTACATATTAGTACCTGAAATGTACATATTAGCACCTGAAATGTACATATTAGCACCTGAAATGTACATATTAGCACCTGAAATGTACATATTAGCACCAAAAATTTACATATTAGCACATAAAATGTACATATTAGTACCTAAAATGGACAAAAGTGTACCTTTTGAAAAGGTACAGCCCCAGTGACAGCTTTCGTACCTTTTTTCTGAGAGTGTATAAATGTCCATTTTACTAAGAAATAAGCACCAAATAGTTGCTTGCTGATAAGTGTCTTCATACAAAAATGCTGGGCGCATCCTAGATGTTTACTGGACTTTCTGCACTCTCTAGTTATTGTTACCTGAACGTTACTGGAATGTTATGGAAATGTTATGCATTAGCATGGCCCCAGCTGCTTTTTTGCATGTCATTTCATCATTTGCCACCAGTGGCCTCTTCAGGCTCGTCTGATCATCATCTGCCCTGATGCAATGAGAAGCACTATAGCAAATATTGTTTTGGAAATCTGCCTGTTTTGTCTTTACTCTTACCCAGAGAGAAAGCATCTCAGAACTTCATGTTTCGTCTGCTTCCTGAATTCGTACATGCTTTCATCTCTGAGTCTTTAGCAGCTAATAAGACTCCAACAGTGGATTAGAGACGTTAATGATCCATGGCAGCAAGAGAAACGGCTAAAACGTTAGTTTCTTTTAGAACAGAGATTTTAAATGCTATTCTTTTTTTTACTCCGCAAATCAGGAACAGACTGCGTGCTCATTAAAACAAGCATTGATATCTGCAAAAGACACAAACACTTGATTCCACACAAGCACACACAATTTTATACGGATTTGTCCCATTTAGCGCAACCTGTATATTGTTCCTCAAGTGCCAAAACCCATCTGGCTCTAGTCGTTTTTATTTTGATGTACCCAATTTAACCCCAGTTGGTTCCAGTGCAAGAATCCTCATGCTGGAGCCGTTTTGGACAGCGTACTGGACGGTTCACCCTCAGGAACGGACCTAAATGTCCTTGGTTTCAGCAGGCAGCTGTCCCCACTTAGGCCCTAATTTAATCTCCACTCTCCGACCCTCTGAGGCTCTTGTGAATGTCCTGGAAAACAGAATCTGGCAACACGGACTCTCTCTCTCTCTCATTCAAACACACTCGCTCTCTGAAGGGATCCAGTGCTGATGTTTACTATGAAGATATCTGGTATTTTTGATATCACAAACACACACCTCTCTCTAATGTTATGAGATGTATATCTTTCGTTTGTAATATCTACATTTTACATAAACGAATGAAAATGAAAATTCTGTCAGTAATTACTCCCCCTCATGTTGTTCAGACCCCGCAAGAATTTCGTTCACCTTCGGAACACAAATTAAGATATTTTTGATTGAATCTGAGAGCTGGATCACTCCTCCATAGGCTTCTTAATGGATCTGGCCGGCCCAAAAGTTATGAAAGACGTCGTTAAAATAGTCAGAGTGACTACAGTGGCTCAACCTTATCAAACGACAAGAATAATTTTATTAATTTGTGTTCTGAAGATGAACGAAAGTCTTATGGGGGTGAGTAATAACTGACAGAATTTTCATTTTGGTGAATTTTCATCGCCGTTGTCATTGTTCTGCGTCTATTGTTGCCTCCACTGAAATGTTGTCCTGCTCTTGTTTTTAGGCAATCTGAAGGCCCCATCTGGTCAGCCTGGTGGGGTTTGGATTAGTCATGGTCTGGACCCTGTGACCAACCGACAGCCTCTCGAGGGTCTGCGTAACCCACCCACAGACAGCCTGTAACAAACTCCGTCCAAAACCAGCACAAGCACACAATGTCACATTCAGCCATCATCACCATTCTGCAGAGATCAACACGTGATGGATGGAGTTCACACATATTGTCAATAATATGACATTTTCATCCAACAATCTTCATTATTCCCTCTGAATATTCAAAGGCATACTGTAGGTGTATTTCAAGTAAGAACAATCACTGTCCGAAAGCTGCCTAGTGTACAAAGATATAGTTTTAAAAATCATCTCATCTTTGGACACCTTTTTAAAAGCAGCATAAATGTATCCTTCACTGGCTGATATCCCACAATCCTGTGTGCGGTTAAAAACTATTGATTATTAATTTCTCAATTTCTTATTGGCACCTTCAGACACAATTTTATTAATTGCATTTATTTAGACGGATAAATTTATTTATAAAAAAAATGCATTTAAGTGAAATATTTTATTTAATTAAAATAACATTGGTATTATTTGATGTAATTTGCATTAAGTTGATGACATTTACAAAGGAATTTAAGTACAATACTCATGTTATGACTCGAGTCACTAAATATGTGTTACTTCTAAAGCTCACTTGAATTTGTTTTAAATCATTAGAAATTACTTCATAACCTTTTCTGAAACTTTCCTTCTGTCTGGGCATGTAAAGTCTCTTTTGAATCTATATAAAATATTCTTTGTTCTAAATCTTTCTTCTAACAATAACACTCCACATTCATTTCTTGATGTGGAAGCCAGAGTAATTGTAACAGATGTTGAATGATTAAATTAGCAGTTGCAGGCTGCTCAAATATTCATGTTGCGTTGCGAACGTGTACCATTATGAAGAAAACCCATCGAATACTTGATTATTCTAGGCTTTTGTTTCCTTCACATAAGGCACAAATCTCTAGAAGAGACTATATATTCTAGGAGAATGTGTCTTCTGTTTTCTGCGATGGCACTCGTGTGGGGGAAGGAGATGCCGTTTCCAGCACTGTACCATTTTATTCAGCTCTGAGATTCATGAAAGTTTAAGACACAGACTCTAAGTGATGTCATGGGAAGCATCACACTATAAAGCGAACGAGGGGAACTGCTCTTGTGCCCTGGAGCGGGACACTTCACACCCGTCTGCTCCAGATGTGCTCAGCGCCTGCCCCTGTCAGGATGTGTCAAATCCCACTCAGAATGTGCAAGAAAGTCACTCAAGGACTTGTGGAAACAAGATTGAAATTCTTGAACATAAAGGAAGACTAATAAAAATAAGAGTATATGCAATATTAATAACTTGTTTAACAGATCAGACCCAGAAACTATTTAGACACCTAAGGCGCATGCTAAAATTAAGGAATGTTATTGCATCAGATACAAACGCTTTGTGTTTTCATGGTTTATATCTGTTATCCTCGTAGGGACCAAAAAATGTCCCAAGGACAAGGACTTCAAAAATCTTTGCGGGGACATTCTGTCTCCATAATTTAGGGTTTACCAGGCAGGCCACACACGCTCGCGAACAAAAAAGACAGAAAGTCTTGACATTTTGTGGCTGTCAAACGTTATTGGGTTATGTGAACATGAACTAGTTACTCTGCTAAAAAACACCAAAACACAAGTAGATTAAAAGTCATTGAGCAAAAGTGTGAAGTGTTTGTTTGTAGATTTTTTCCTTTTAACAAAATATGTTCTGATAACATTAAATAGGTGAAATAGTTAACAATACTTTAATTTATATTCAATTATTTATATTATAACGTCTAAAAGTGATTGGATTCGTTTCTTTGAGAAAACATTCAAATAAACAGTGTTCTGCCACACGCAGCCCAATCTGTGCCAGTCACCTACATAGGTTGTTTGTGAATAGTTTACTGGTCCATAGTGTGCACAGAATATTACTTCACACAGAGAAATGATCCAGTTTCCACCTTTTATCCTGGGGAAAGAAACTGCCGCACATTCGTATTGCTTAATTATGAGTGGTGGTGGCGTTCAATATTGAGAACGGAGGAGTCGTTTTCCTATTTCTGACCTTTAGTGACATCTAGTGATTCACAAACAGAACTGCAGTCACGTCAAGTTTGTATAACATATATAGCCAACATCTAATAAAGAGGAAGTCTAAATGGCAACGCTACACAACGCTAATAAATACATAATATAATACCAATAATAATAGACATCATAGGCTACAGTGAAATTCGCGCATTTTAAGTGTGAATTATCTAAATGTTTAGGCTAAGGCTACAAAGAACAATAAACATAACGCACAATATATACATTTGCACTTTAAATTCTAGCCTAACTTTTAAAATATATAAATATTTATACATAATAGCCTACTATATATGTGGATTATTTGTATGTATGAAAACTCCTCAAACATTAACAGGTAAGAGAGGTTTCATATCAGTTCTGTGAAATTGCACAAATTTCCTTTGAACGAACAGGTTAGGCAACATATATCATGTTTCTGCATGCAGGAGCGCTCAAACGCTGAAGCTCAATTCCTCTTTCGGTCTTATGCGAATATTCATCTGGATAAAGCAGAGCTCGACGACCGCGTTTGCGTTCACACACCGGCTTTGTGCTTCAGGTTGTTTTTCCTTGCACTTTATTTGCATACGCGTTCTGCTTTTTCCTCCTGATGTGGACCAAATTAGAACAGTGTTTCTGTTTTTAGCTCGGGTTGATATAGTGATAAGAAACATTATACAGACGTGTTGTGGTGGCAGCTGCTCAGTTTGGATCTCCTCCGTTAAAGCGCAGGTGAGTGTGTGTCATTCTGCGGTGGATCACATCTTTATATTTCGCTAACTTAATAGTTTTCGCTGATCATATGTTTGTTTAGAAATCGATAGGAACTAATTTTCACACGTTTCGTGGTTTAACAACATGGATACCCAGATGGCACACGTACAGACATCTATTTGATGTGAGTGTTTGCATCTGACGAAGACATTTCTGTCAGACGTTTAGAAGATGTCTTTAAGATGTAATGATTTAGAATCTATGTTAAACTGACATCTTAAAGATGTCTATCAGATGTCAGTAAACGCAAATGCTTTCCAGATGAATTGATCTTTAATAGACATCTTGCAGACGTACATTCTGGGTTGCGCCGTTTTCATTATAATAAGCAAAGTTGGTACGTTTTGTGTGGGTAAACTTTATTCAACGGTTTGCTTGAGGAGCCTTTTGTTTTACTTTTGACAGCATATTTATGACTATAATTAATGGGAGGCCGTCCTGTTCCTCGAGATCAACCTTCCATTAAATTTCTTCTCCAACCCTAATCAAACACTCCTGAAGCAGCTAAATATGATCTTCTGGAACAGTATTGGGCATCGGTCTTATATCAGTGTATTGAAAGGGAAAGTAGCCTATTATATTTAAATATAACAAATTATTAATATCAATACCTGTCTATCAAGTTTTTTTTTTTTATCATTAAAGTTTGGGTAAAATGATAAAAGTGTTTATTATACATAATGTTACCATTTAGTAAATATTAAATAAGACTCTTGTATTATTTAGATTTTACCACCGGTTTCACAGACAAGGCTCTGGACTAAAATGTCCTAATTGAACTAAGGCCTAATCCTGGATTAATTTAATTTAATTTAAGCCCTGTCTGTGAAACCGGGCCTTAGTGTTTTAGTGCACATTTTGCAATGTTAGTTCCGGCCCGACAAGAAGGAAGCTTTAGATGATAAATATCCTTTTGCTTAACAAATACGGAAAAACTGATAATTTATTCACCTCAAACTCATAGTCTCAAATCTTCTGTCTTCAAATATATGTGATGGTTTCAGGGATTCCCATTAGCTACATAAACTTGCAACCTTGTCAGATCAAATTTGATGTTTTGATAGTGCAATGGCCTCGTGGATTAGGAACGTTTTGCAGTGTACAGAAACGAACAGGTGTTTAGGAAAGTACTTTTTTGTTTGTGTTGTGTTTTAGCCTTTTAAATCAGTTGCACCATATATATATATATAAATTTTCTGACTCTCATCTTGCAGTTCCATGTATTTGTTTCTTTTAGCGTTTGCCCAGAGAAGATGAGCTCGTAATGAGGTGTCTGCTCATACCGTGGTTGTTTTTCGAATGGAGTGGACCTCATGACCACAGCGATGTCTGCCAGTAAATCTGCAGCTAGAAGAGCTATTCTACAGACCTCACGGGTTAGATGGAAGACGGATCAGTGTGAGATTATTCCGATTATCACTTCTGACACGAGTAAGTACCTGAGATGTTTGGTTGTTAGATGTTGTGCTGCTAAATGGAGGTTCATGCAGTTAGCAGCAAATGGCAACTTTCATTATGTCTCTCGATTAGTTTTTTGTCAGTGTTGTTAAAATCGCATTTCCATGGATAATTCATGCATCTTCACAGAAAATGCAAAGCAGTGCAGTGAACGCCCATGTAACCCTGGAGCTCTGTAATTCAGTGGATCAGCCAAAACTCAGAGATACTTTGTTTTCTGTTTCTGGAGCAAGGTGAATGTTTGTCCTCTTTGTTTTGAACAGGGAAGTGTGATGAAGACAGCGTAGAGCGCTGGCTCACCACCATCTCAGGGTAAGAGCCGATTCTCACAAGTGTTTATTTCTCCTTCATTGTGGCTTTATTTTGGGATAAATCCTCTTTCAAAGGGTTTCAGCTGTGCTATTGTGCTGTCTGTTGTTGTCATTTGAATTTCTTCCCACATTATATTCTTTAAAGCGTTTCCTCCAAGTTATGTGGTTACTAATACAGCTCGACTTCCTTGTTTTTAGAGAAGGCAGTACGAAACCAGAGGTTGTCCTGGAGACCGCAGGTAAGATATATATATATATATATATATATATATATATATATATATGAAGAGTTCAGATGCAAAAGCCTCTAAATGCCATTTGAAATTTTCTTCTTTAATGATGATTTTTATCAAACTTGTATATTTAAGTTCAGTAAATTCACTTAAATGGCAATGATAATTACCTATTAATTGTTATTTAAGTGAAATTACTGAACTTAAATATACAAGTTTGATAAAAATCATCATTAAAGAAGAAAATTTCAAATGGCATTTAGAGGCTTTTGCATCTGAACTCTTCATATATATATATATATATATATATATATATATACACACACACAGTATATATGTAAATTCACACACAGTATATATTTGATTTGCTGAGATTGCCAGTGTAGTAATTTTACACTACTTATTGTAATATAATATATTTTAAAATAATAACTATAATACATTTGAAAATGAAATATGATTTTATTTATTTATTATCAACGTATTATTAAAGGTGCATTGCGCAACATTTCATGTTAAAAATACCTGTTTTTCTGATCACTGCAATTGCCTCTATAATCCTGTACAGTAAAATTAATAATAGGGATTTGGGACGTAATTTGAGACTGGACGTGATGTCATGGCATGCGCGTTCACGCTCACCTGGCTATGTCTGGCAGGTTTGTGTATTCGCCGCCATTCTCCGTATCAGCGAAGAAAACTCGAGCGACAAAACTTTAGTCAACTTTTGACAAAAATAGAAGATGGATTTAAAGAGTTCATTCCAAACCCCAACGCAAACTCCACGTAAGACAAAGAAAATAAAACTTTTGTCTAGTGCCAGGCGTCGGAATAAGACGAGAGTTAACATCGGGAAGGCTTTCAACAAATGGAGAGATCTCCGGCTCAAAAGGGATCCTATACAAAGTAATAACTTATATTGTTCATGAACATGTTTCCATAATAATACAATCATAAGTGGATACCGTAAGCACATAAAACAGTTCAACATGGAGATAGATGGAACCTCACACACACATAAGTGTGTAATTTACTCAAATGCCTTTCCTTTCATATATTTAAAATGACTTGCAGATTTATAACTTTATTACCTCTGAAGACATTATGACTAACAAAAGATTTGTGTGGCTGATGATCCTTTGGTTACAGCTCGTGCAAGCGTGCGTGTGTGTGGTCCATGAGCGTGCACACCTCTGGTTGCAGTTTCGCTTGTCGCCAGAGGGGGCATAGTTCTGCAAAAACACAGAAACTTGCGCAATGCACCTTTAATATTATAAAAAACAAGGAACTCTCGCACACTATCAATACTTGCAAATGAGTAATTTGCAAATATTGATAGTCTGCGGGAGTTCCTTGTTTTTATAGATTTTTGACTAACCCATTTGTTTTTTTCCCACGCACCTATCACATGCCGGTGTGCTATGGCGATTGCCAATTGATTATTAATATTATAAAAATATCATATCACTGAGTGATTTAATTAATGTGTTGATGATGTTGAGAAAAGTTAAATCCAGTCGGTTCTCACAAAAGTAACTGTAGTCTGATTACGTAGTAATCTGTAGTCTGATAGTTGCTGTCTATTTCAATTTAGACTGTTTGATAAATGTGTTAAATGCTCATATACAAAATGATCTTGTGAAACCCTGGAGCTCTAAACATTAATATACTGGTATGATTCACAATGATTCAATTAGTCATTTATCTGTGATGGCTGACAGTGTGTTGGATTATACCATTTTTATAGGTTTAGCAGGTGACTTGTTTTTTTCACTTTTATAAATACTTTATCGTAAAACACATTGCTTTGCTTTCAGAGAAGGCTATAAGGAGAAATGAGAGTGGAGAAGATGATCTGGCACTGGGAGTGGAAGGTAAGCATTCCCTGTTTTGTATTGCTTGGATCAGTTAAACTAAATATTCGGTGGAACGAGACATATGCGCAATATGAATGAGTGACACTGTTTGGCGTCAAGGTTTGAGTTATTCTTTAGAAAAATTTGGAGCATACAATGGCATATGGGTTTGTGCGTCTGTGTCTTGGAATACATTGAACTATTCAGAAGGCCTGGGCTAACCCTGGATTTTAAACAAGAGCAAACCTTTCCATAAACACAAACACTGGCAAAGAGTGAGACAATCCAGTGCCTGCCGTCTTCGGAAACTTCACCTGCTACTGCATTGTTTCCAGTTACACACAAAAGATAAGGAGTAGATAAAGCAGAGATGGACGTGATCTTTACTTTAACAAGATTTACGCAAGAACGACATGTTCGTGGTGGATCAACCATGAACCACCATATAGGTCTGGGAAGAAAACCACCCTATCAGATCAACGAATCCTATCAGATTTTAGAATTCGCTTTTAGGGGCCTAAAACATATTCTTATCAAGTTTCCTTTGATTTTCAGAGTTGGTCATGGTTATAGATGCACTGCAAATCATATTCTTAGATCAAGATAGCAATGATGGAAAGATAACCCAAGATGTTGTGTTTTTGTATAACTTGCTATTCTGACACTATACTATACCTTCACAAATTCAAGTAATTCATCTTAGTGCAATAAATGCACCAAGTGAGTTAGATGTGTGAAGTTTTTAGTTTAAATAAGCCTACATGAAAATTATATTTCGTAATTCAGTCCTAGTCACTCTTTTCCCAGCATGCACTTGGGCATGAATAGTCAAGGTTGCTTTGTTTGTAAGGGTTGTTAATCTGTCTGATTTCCTGATTCGATTCGATTACGATTATTGAAGTCCCGATTCGATTAAAGTCGATTTTCGATTATTAACGATTCTCGATTACCGATTATTGATTTTCCATTTCACAACAGTAAACGAAAATACACTAGACCAACATATGATTATATTAGCAGCAGTAACATTTTGCTATATATAGACGATATTTGTTTGATATTGTTTTCATTACTGCAGTTTGTTAATTTTGCTACATTTAGCAACTTGATGTCATGTGACATTTTCAATTGCAAATTTCGAACAGAGATGGCGACAAAAAGGAATAAAACTACGCACTGCAGCTTTAAGTAGATGAATTCTACTTAAAAAAGCCATGCACACTATTGCCTTTATTTTATAAGCGCCATACAAACACTGATGTTAATGCAAGCCCATTTCCAACTATACGCTAAGCCTTCCCATGTCCTCTAGGCACACACAATGAGGTGTTATGAAAATTTGAAGAAGTTAACCTTGAGCTAACCTTTCACTTTAGACACCAGAAACTGTTACAGAATCTTTTTTATGAAGTCCTAAGTTAAGCTCTGACATGTTCTGACATACTGTAAATCGCAGATAAGTTTCTAGAGGTATTTTTCCCTATACTTTCACAAAGAGAAGTTTAGAATCTTTGTCCACTCACTAAAGATGGAAATGCATCTTTAGCCCAAATAGGACAGAATCTATTCAGAACTTTACATTCTTGTTTGACTTTGTCATCCAGCAATTTAAGAATAAATACAGAATACTACAAATACTCAAATACAATAGCATACAATGACTTAAAATAGCAAGCAATAAACTGCAATCCCAAATTAGTTTGCTTGCTTGCTTGCCAGATATTCCTCATATCTGTTAACATATCTGAATGTTCATATTCACGTCGACCACCTATAGTTGTTTTCTTTCCGCTCAGTGTGCTGTCTCTCTTCAGGGTTCTGTCTTTCTTCTTACGAGTGATGTTTCTGCCCTGGGTTCTGTCTTCCTTTTCAGGGAGTGTCTTGACTCTTGTCTGTTGTTGTTTGTCTCTCTTATATTTCAAGGAAAAGTTGGTTGCCTCCTATGAATTCATGTTCAGTCTGTTGTGCTGTCAGACACTCCCCTTCCTAGTGAATGAGGTGCTTTGGTTTCTTTCGTAACACAATTTCAATGAAAGGTACAGGACTGAATGGACCTGATAGCTTCTCTTCAGAATCAGCAGAGAGATTAAACAAAGATGGTGGTTTAGGAAAATAAGTTGGGCATTTCGGATCCGGATCTTTTAAGAAGACTTCGGTGTGCCCCTGACAACATGCTGAAGTCTTCTGTACAGGTGTTTATGAGAAGACAGGAAAATCAAAACAACAAGGAATGTTGACCTAATATAGTTACTGCTCCGCAGTCTGGAGGGGTTTAATTGAAAACGCAGATGTTTTCCATCTTTAAATGAACTCTGCTTCTTCTGTGTTTGATGCAGCATCTTTATATGGCAAACGCTCTCTCAGGAATGTACAGGATATTTTAAGGTAAGAACATGTTTAATATTCACTGTGTTTTATCGAGCTTGAGTAACTTTGACTTTTGACAAAACTTGGATCTGGCCAATATAAGCTGATAATTATTTGCATGTTATGGGCGAGATAAAAATACTATTTTGTTTAAATGAATCAAACCTAAATACAACACACTTTACAGTATGAAAAATGGATATTCATTTTGGGATTTGCTATAGATTACATTTAATAGTATTACTAAATTATTCATGTTTCAAACATTAACTTTAAGTGAGTGTTAGATAACAGGTAAGGTAATACATTTAAACATAAAAATGGAATAAATGCATAATTGTAAATATCCAATATGGTACTGATATAATGTGTATTCCTAGTTATAAGTTTTGTCTTATCAATTTCAGAACGTTTTTATTAAAATTAATAAAGATTTAGAACTCTTCTTATTTTGTAACAGTACTGTCATCTATCCTGTTTAATTGCTGTATATAGATGTATCTGTTTTCACCAATGTGTGAGAAATTGCCTGACGTGGTTCATTAGTTATATAAATACATGTACATTTGTTTATATATTCTATATATCAGACAATATAAGTGTGTATATGTGCGTGATGTAGGCTTGTTCAGGCACCTGCCAGAAACCTTAGTCATATTTCCCATGCAAATGCTGAAATGTTGACATGCCACCACATGGGCTGCTGGGCTGGTTTGCATGAGGTGGAATGTCACTGATGTGGCAATGAGGCAAGAGACGAACGATTCCAACCCGAAATGGGTGAGACGGAGGAAAGCATGAAGAAGGATTTGGATGTACAGTAAGGGCTGGTCAGTTTGGTTTCTTTACTTAATGTTTGCTGATGTCATCCACTCCCAGGTCATCTCTAGATTCTCCTGGTCTGTCCAGGTGGAACAGTTTTGCATCGACTGTCTCAATACCATCTGATGTCAGGTCAGAACTCCTTAACCTCCTTCCCAACTTGTCAAGCATTCACTTTAAGACTTTGGTTATTGATAGACATACTAATGTTGTTGTTTTTGTAGTGTAATGGACGTGTTGAATGTACTAAAGGATGACCCTGAAGAATTGTTGCTAGATTTGGGTTTTGGCACTGAGGAGCCCGACATCACTGGGAGAATCCCGGCCCGATTCCTCAATTACGAGTCCAGCGCTCGTGGCATTAGCTATCAGCTCTTTCTGGAAGCTCAGCAGAACCGAATGGATGTTGAAAATGCGGATGTCAGCAGTAAGAAAGTTTCCTCAAGTTCAAACAAAAATGGAATAATGAGTTATTTTCTCAAGCTCATATTGTTCCCAATCCATGACTTTCTTTCTTCCGTGGAACTCTGAATGGGAATTTCCATGGGATTTCTGAATAATATCCAGGCCATTTATTGTGTATAATGGAAGTGAATGAAAATTGAGTTCCAAAATGAAAAAATTTAAAAAGCATCACAAAAGTAGCTACAGTATATGACTTGTTTTCGCTATATATATTTATATTCAAAGTCTTCTGAAGTCATACATTAGTTTTCTTTGAGAAACAAGCCGTAAAAGACTTAAAGACTAAAGCTGGACCACTTTAAATGATTTTGTGGTACATTTCATACTTTTTTGAGGCTTGAAATCTCCAGATCTAATTAATTGTAAAATCTTGGCAAAAAATTCATTTAAAATGTCTCTTTTTGTGTTCCATATAAAAAATAAAGTCACTCCTTTTTTGGAGTGAATTAACCTTTAAAAAATCTGTTCTGCATATCCAAACTCTCAAAAATAAAGTTTGAAGAAGAACCTTTAACATCCATGGAACCTTTTCAATGGTTGAAAGTCATTTAAATATAATTTGTTAAACGGCAAAACTAAAAGTGACAGTCATTTCCTGTGGAGCTGCAATGGGTTGAAAGTCTGACAACCAGAGTTTTATGCGAGTCACAAATTTTGAAACTCTCTCTCTCTCTCTTCCTCCCGGTGTTCAGATAGGTTTAGACAGCTCGAGGTTCTTCAACAGGTGACGACAACCTTCTCCTCTCTGGTTGGTGCTCACGATGCGGACACATCTACAGCTTCCCAGAAGTCCGCAGAGGCCCGGGAGAGGAGAAAACGCATGGTCATGATTCTCCGTAGGGCCTCCAAAAAGAGCCTCAGCCAAGCCCAAACGTCACAGAACCAGCACACCATCCCTTCCGTGACCCCCTCAGCCCCATCCGGCCCAGAATCCACTGGCACACCAAAAGCAGATAAAAGGAACCCTTCAAAACGCACAAGGATGTCGGACAATAATCTCTTCCCTCTAAAAGAGGAGCAGAGTGTTAATTCGGAGTCAGCTGAGCCGGTTCTTAACAGCCAAACGGCAAGAGGAACATCAGATCTTCAGAAACTCAACCTTATCAATTCAACTGAGGGAATTCTCCAACGACCTATTGAATCTTTCGAGCTGGAAGAGGTATTAACTCTGCAGTGATATCCTCTGTATTTACTTCCACAATGTTCCTTTTCTAATGTTGATGACTGTTTTGCAGATCCAGAGTTTTGATGAAGGAACCATTCCTGGGAGCTGTAATGGCCCAGTGGATCCTGGAGGTGCATGTCTTTTTAAACTGCATAGTAACATGCTCACAACCACTTTGCAACCACCACTTAGTACTACTTACATACACAAACATAAACTTTCATTTGAGATGTTCATTTTACTTCTTGAAAAGCGAACGTTTTTAAAGCTGTGGGTTGAAATAATTTACATGGAACCATTTCCATTTCTGATATTAGGCAAATGACTCATGAGATTGCTCAGTCATTTTCATGTGTGCAGTAGGCTACTACCTGCGGTCCAGTTGATGTAATGTTCACCTCAGTTCTGTGGAAAAATTAACTTGTTTGTTTAGTCTGATCACGAGGCTTTAGTGTCCACATGCTAATGGCTCTTGGTCCATGTAGGTGAACGAATCGGGTCTTACGTGATGAGAACAAACAGTTGTCAGTCTGATAGCAGTGGCTTCCAAGAGGAGCCCTTCATACCTGCGCTGTCCCAGCAGAACAACCCTGGACCAGAGCTCATGAAGGTAAGACATGTTTCAGCTCGCTCTTTCTTTACATACTGCTACATACGGTGGTGCCATCGAGGAGTTTTTATCTGCCATTATGTTGCCCTCCACGAAGGACAGCAAGCCAATATATTTATTTTGAACTTTAAATCTCAAGTTAAAACTCATTTTTTTAGGTTAGCTTTTAATTGATTTATTGTCTTTTATGTTTATTTTATCTTACTGTGTATTTTGTCTCTTTGTGTGTTGAATCTTTGCAATTTTAACTGTGTTTTTTGTACAGCGCTTTGAGATGTACATTTAAAGATTGTTATTATTATTAACTACTCCATTCAAAAATTACATGAACATATGAACTTGTTACTGTAGTTACTGTCTTTTTATTTTATGTATACTGTATATATATATATATATATATATATATATGGTACTATTATTATATTCTTTGAGGTACCTTGGTAAATAATACCCTGGTAAATGAATATTATAATCACTCCTTAGTACTTTACTTTTTTATACGCCATATTTTTAAAAGGTCACAATTTACTGTATCATAAGCGGGCCGACCAATATTGTCTGAAACCGTGCTGAGTTTTAGACTATCACTATCTGACAACAGAGCGTGTATGAAATTGGTTTGGAAACAATATCTGTAGCTGATGTAGTCATTATTTTTGCTGTTACATTGGTTTTGCTACTGAAGCAGGAACCACGAATTGTTCAATTAAAAAAAAAAAAAAACTAGCTGATAATTTACTCACCCCCTTGTCATCCAAGATGTCCATGTTTTTCTTTCTTCAGTCGAAAAGAAATTAAGGTTTTTGATGAAAACATTCCAGGATTTTCTCCATATAATGGACCTCAATGGGAACCAAACATTTCAAGGTCCAAATAAGAGTTTCATTGCAGCTTCAAAGGGCTTTAAACGACACCAGACGATGAATAAGGGTCTTATCTAGCACAAATTCATTGTCTGGTGTCGTTTAAAGCCCTTTGAAACTCTCATTTGGACGTTGAACCGTTTGGTTCCCAATGAAGTCCATCATATGGAGAAAATATTGGAATGTTTTCATCAAAAACCTTAACTTCTTTTGGACAAAAGAAAGAAAGACATGGACATCTTGGATGACATGGGGGTGAGTAAATTATCAGCAAAAGTTTTTTAAAAGTGAACTACTCCTTTAAGGATATTTACAACATGCTTGGGTGTGTTTATGAATATTTGTTTGATTTCCTGTGCTCTTTCTGCTTTTTTGCAGATGCTGAATGCAATATCACAAGATAGCACAGAAGGTCAGCAGAAGAGATCAGAACAGCGAGAGGCGGAGGATCCCTCCACATATGAACAGAACTGTGAAAAACAATCGAACCAAAAACACTCTCCTACGACAGACTCTGGAAAAACTGCAGACTCTGGAAATATATTTGACTCTGAGTCGGGAGAACTGAATCAAATAATGACTGAAAAAGAATACTCTTTGTCATCAGATATTAGTAAAGTTAGCAATAATCATGTTTATACTCTAGCATACTTTGTTCAAATGGATCCTGTTGGTTATCAGACTGACATTTATAACAGACCGCAAGGATCAGAAAGTCCAGGCCGACACGTTTATAGGGAAGGCATGTCGCTGTTTGAGGAACTGAAATCTGCTGAGACAAACTCCCAACTGTGTCCTACTGATCTGAAGACAGATGTTATGGAAAATGTGGTGGACAGCTTTACAAATCATCTTGAAGTAGGCAAGCGAGATCCAGTCATGCAGGAATATCCAGCATCTACCCAGAGCAAAATCATGACCTCTGATGATCCTTCTGAACACAATTCCTCCACTGCGCTTAAACTCAGGAGAGAATCTTTCTCCAGGAAGTCCCGGTCTGACATGGTCACGGATAATGACTCGGGAACAGCACAGACACCCACGACACAAACGCCGTTCACATCTGTGGACACATCTCCTCCTCACTTGTGGAACTCTGCGGAATATTCTGCCGATCTTGGAGGTTTGCGAACGCGGTCGATATCTCTCGACACGGGACTGTCGTATGAGGAGGAGGATCACAAATTGCAGGGAGCATTGTGGGCAGGGACACAGCGATGTTTCCATTGCGGGTCTCAAATCAACTACGACAACAGCTGGGCAAAACCTCAAGCTGAGCTGTCCTCCAGTCTGCCTGTAAGTAGAAGTTGCTCTACAAATATCCTACACTATGATAGACAGGTTTAAAGGGTAATTCCACCGGTGGAGACATGAATATGTATTGAAAGCGGGTCATATATGTACAGTAGTAGAATAGTATCATACATTTCTAATTTGGTTCCTCCTAGGCCAATAAAAGGCAGAAAATGACATTTTAGTGCTTGTGAATTGTAGACAACAATCCCCATAGTGCATTGCAATGCTCAGCTCCACAGGCCACTCCCACTACTCCGCCAATCAATGTAGACCAGAGTTGAGCTCCACTCAACATTACCGCCTGGAAATCCATTTCGCACAATGAAATCAGCTAATGCGCACTAATATAATATGACGACGTAAGAGCGTCAAGGCCCTTGTTCGTTCTTATTCGGTCTGGTTATTACAGTTTACGTCGGAAGCGGTTCCCTATTGGCACCGTGTTTCGGTACCCAACACTACCCATAATGCATCCGTCTGCGTATTCAGTAACTTCGTCCATATTTTCAAAAAGTTTCTGCCGGTGAAATCAAACACACTGGCGCGGATCTGTGATAGGTCTGTTAGCACATTAGGTCTAACCCCCTATGGGGGTATAACTGTTTTGAAAATTGTATGATGCATTTTAAAACCGTTCATTTAATGATTATCAGACATAACGTACTGTAAATCATTATTGTCTTTTCGTTATCGGCCAGAATTTTGTTCTTGATGTGTCCTTATGCTATCAATGGTCTCATTCATGAAAATCATTCTTTGTTCTTTGGAGATTGACTGAAATTGTTTGTTTTTTTAATAACCGATACCTATTATGTGCTTGTTCATGTGCCCAATAACCGATATGCAGAACCGATATTTATTTACTGTTACACTTGTTTTTTTGTTTGTTTGTTTTTTACAATTTTGTCAATATCACTAACTCCTTGCATACAAAACAAAACAACCAATAAATAGCACGTTCTGAAAGAGTGCAAAAAATTTAAAAAATAAAGTGCACTCTTACTAGTGTCTTTTTCAAAATAAAAGCTTTGATGAGGTAAGCTAAATGAAGCACAAAAATAATTCGCATCATTTAAACCATTTTAACATAAAATGTTGTGTTCGCAATACGAAGGCAGTTTACAAATATATTTCTGCATAACCATTTTTGTAATACGTTGTTGTGCTGTTTCATGAACAAGCCCCATTGTCTTTAAATGTGCTTTCACCAAGCTCATTCTGATGTTGGAGGAGCTCCTCATTCGAAGTATAGAGATCCATGGGTTCTTTACCACTCTGAATTTCCTCTGATTTTAAGAACAAATTAAGATTAAACATGTCTATTTTGGGAAGAACTCTTCTACCCCTTAAACATCTTAGATTAAAAGCTTTGAGCCCTGCTTATGTTTAATGAGGTTCATTTGAATTTGTATAGTTCATTTGCATGTGTAATGGAAAACAGTAGCGAACACTGACCACTTCAGAATCTTCACAGCATTTAGGCATATACACACACACAAACCCATTTTATGCACATCCTCGCTTAACTCATTTTAAAAAAATATATATTTTCATTAAAAATTTTTGTAATTTTGTCATGTTTGGTTTTTTTGTCTATACAATTTTTTGGTAGACCACCATGATCACATTTAACACTAGTGGATCGCTTCGGCTAAGATGTGCTGAACATGTTCTAACCCGCTTTCAGCAATAAACCAGCTGTTATGCTTCCTTTTAAAGACTACATTTTTCCTGGTTATGGAATGTATCTCTTCCAGCAACAATATCCTTCTCTTTCACTTTCTAGTACTCTCTGGATGAGCTCGAAGACATGGTGAAATGTTTGAGGAAGTTCCGAACAGTTCTGACGGAAATTGAAACAAGACTAGAAGAGGAACAAGCATCCGTGCTCGGATCCCTGTCAGACTCCCACAGGTGAACTTCACTGTCATTATGGATATCTCACTGATCTTAAAGGGTGTACAATAGTGTTTAAACCTGATTTTGTGTTTAGGGAGGAAGTGGAAGATGTTTTTAGGCTACGAGCAGCTGTCAAACAGGAAGCTGGGATGCTTGAAGAGCAGCTGTCGGATCTGGTGCATCACTATGATGGTAGCATCAAAATGGTATTTATTCTACTCATATACAGTATGCTAAATATGTGGTTATGGGATATAAACTAGGGCTTGGGGCAGTAATGGACAAAAAATATTTCAATATAGAGCAAAACTCTTTCACTTTGTTACCAACCAACATCCTTCAGCAGTGAAATGTGTTGAATGGACAACGGAACAAGATTTATTTTGATCCCTGTGCTTTTATGCTTATAGAAGCTGAATCGGCTCATGGATGAACAGTCACAGCTGTGCACCCAACTGCGAATTACACCCTCTAATACACCCCATTCAGATCCCACCTCGACCAGGAGTGTGGCTATTCAATGCTGCCTGCTGCCCGTGACGTCCAGTCCACAGAGATGTGTCCATCATCACTGCACCAGAGCAGCATGTCGAGATCCACACCGGTTCCCTTGTCAAACCCAGTGGGAGGCCAATTGCAAACCAGACAGACTGGACTTAGTAGCTTTTATTAAAAGTGTAAGAAATATCTTACACCCTCATGGGAATAATTGGATCTGACAGTGGTTAAAATTCTAGTGTCGTTAACTGTGCACTTTTATCTTTCAGCTGAAAAATTCATTACAACATTCAATCAACAGTAACTCACTGGAATAAGGTTTGCATTATTTTCAGTTCCGTGTCTGTTGACATTTTTTCATATTGTTAATGTCTATATCTGATCAAATTTAACTAAAAGACCAAATATTTTATGGGATTTAAACCTCTTTTTTTTTAAATGCAGACAAAATGGAAAATGGATAATTCTGGTCTTTCCTTTGTTTTGTTGTAGTAATGCAGTGATGAAGACCTGAAGAGCCTTATCAACTCCCTTACAGCTGCTCAAGAGTCATAAAGTGCTGACTCTTGAGTTCAGAACTAATAAAGAATCATGTATATAAATCATTATCGTGTGTCCAGATGAGTTTATATGTGCACACATGATCTTATGTAGCACAAGCCTCCTCCCAGTAGCCCTAAAAGCTCTCTTTCCCTCTCCCTCCTTGTCTTGTTGTCTGTAATAAACCCCTTCACTTCTTCATGATAGTGCTGTACTGACCGTATAAGGAAACTGCTGCTGAAGAACCAGAGCTTCCTCTCTCCTCCGGTGGACGTGGACGACACAGTGCTGGTTCTCCTGTCTGACTGGACGATGATCTGATGGTTCCTGAGACGCTTTCTGAGAGTTATGGCCCAATCTCAGGAAACAATATTTGCTGTGGAAAATTGAAGTAATTTCAAAAATACTTATAAATAAATATAAAGTTTAAAAAGTTGGTGAACTCAAAATAAATCATGTTTTTTTGTTTTTGTTTTGACCAATGGGGAATCATCATAGACAGTGGCAAAAGACAAACTTATAAACTGGCTACTAACCAATACGTAGGTTTGGCATTCATAGAATTCACAATTGACTAAATCACACATTAGTCATAACAAAACGCGTAAAAAATAACTTACTTTTTAATTACAAACTGTTCTGTTCTTCCCTGCAACAGCAAAACGATTCGGTTAGCTAACGTAACGGTTCTCTCTACGTTAGAAGAGGGAACTTTTTTGGCTTCAATATCTTTTTTTGGCTTCAATATCTTTTTTTGGGCTTCAATATCTCAGAAAAGATTAATCTTGCAATACAAGAGAAGCTCTCGTAAGAGAACTGGTTTGAACAGTTGCTAGCCTAACTTACTATGCGAAACTAGCCTAACATTGCCTGTTGTTTGTAACATTTTCAAAAACACGACGTTGTTACTTCCTCAAATGTCAGAAATGTAAAAAAAAAATTCAATTCGTTGTACTACACGGTAAACTAGGCTACATTTATCAAATAAAGTTTCAGTATTTAAACATTTCGTGAGAATAATGTTTAACGGCTCTTTCATCGCTTAGGGATCATGTGTAAAGTGCCACGCTGTAACTCGCATGAAGTTGGTTTGACGTTGGACGTTCGATATTCGCGTATTTAGGGACCGTCTCTAAAGATACATGCGATATTGGTATAAACGTTTTTTAACTTCAATAACATCTGAAGACAATGACTCACAGTCATAAAACCTACTGTACATTGTTCACCCAGGTCTCAGGTGTGCGGCACACATTGTAGATATTTGATATTTATAACAATAAGCTGTTTAATCATATGTAGTAGATAATGTTATTGGTATTGTTCATTATTTAGGTAGACTTAGACCAGGTTTTTACTTTTACATTCATGTTCTTGGTAGACGCTCCCAATTGACTTATGTGGCGTTGGCATATGAATGTCGTGTTTAAACTGGGTAGAGAAGTGCATTAAAAATCAACAAAACCACTTCACACACTCTCCATACACACTCGACACGGGAGGAGGAAACACCATTCACATCAGAGGACAATAGAAAGACATCAAAGCCTGTCAGGAAACAATATGTCCACATTGTTTTCCTTTATTTTTCATTTTCTCGTGTTCACGCTGTCCATTGTGCTCGTAATGAGAGTGTGGATGCGTCGCAAATTGCAGAAATGGTTTTTGTTATCTTAAATATAATTATTTATGAAGTACGCCTACAATGATTTGATCGAAAGCAAATCGTTTAGTGGGAATCACTGCATTGACAACATCCTATCTTAACCAGTCTCACCTCCAACATGTTTAAATCACTGCAGAAAGTGTTCAAGTAGTTTCATTTACCTCGATGACGTGCGTTCGAGGAAGCTGGGATGATTGACACATGACAAGGGCCCCTGTCACCATGACAACATGCTCTAATGGAGGCCCCTCCTCCTAAAGTACATAACCCCAGTCTCTGATCTGGCCTGCACTTGCTCCATCTCTCATCTGCACCGAGGTAAGGCCCTCTCCCTTTCTTTTAATAAGCATCTTTATTTTTTTTTTCTTAATCTACATACATGTCAACATATTTTAGCAATACATTATATTATATTTAAATAAGTAAAATGTTTACAATGTTTATTCAGTGTGTTTAGACTGTTAAAAGTGTATTTTAAAGTATTGTGTGTGTGTATATATATATATATATATAAAATATACATTATTATCTATATAATGTACAGCAAATACATATATAGCTTTAATTTTAGATGCACACTTCAAATCAAAATGAATTGAAGCAAATCCTACTTATTTTAATATATTTTAGATATTTTCATTATATGTTTTATATTTATGAATGTGATGTTTTTAAATATTATTAATGAGTATTTGAATAAATGCAATATTAATATTCATCCGTGCTCAAAATGCCTAAAAATAAAAGTATAAAATTGATCTTTTTTGTGTCCCAAAACCCGTTTTCCATTGCTGTCATATAATGAGTGATGAATCTGTTTCTTGTTAATTTAATGGGATGCATTTAAGTATCATGTTTTGCAATGACATAATTACCCGTATAAAATTCAGAACCCAAACGCCAATAACATGATCGTCATTTTGTGAAGCGAGAAGCAGCTTCTGTTGAATCAGTTTGCTACCATTCCCAGGTCTAATAAATATGCTTTCCAGTAAATATGACAGAGCCTTTGTCATGTACATGAGTGTGTGTGTGTGTGTTGAACACGAGCTGTCATCTGATACCTGAACAGACTGCTGTGGGGAGCATGTCCACTGACTGTGTGAGGTCACTCTCAGACAAAGCCGAACACACACTCACCATGCATGAACATCTCTGTAAGTAGTGTATTATATCTGCATGCACAATGTTGTTTTTTAAGGAAAAGAAATACATAATGACATTGGAAGGGTCAAAATTTCGATCAACAGCATCCATTGGACCCTAACAGATGGCGACGGTCTGACTGTACAAACCAATGCTTGTGAACCTGTTTCTGAAATGTTCTCCTGCAGATGGGAACGCTGAAATGGACAATCAGAAGCACAGCTCCGAGGAACATCAGCAGGACAAACTGGGCCAGAAGAAACCCCGCAGAAAAGACACTCCCGTTCTCAACAGCCCTCCACTCATACCAGGCAAGACTTTTCATCTTTTCACTGTCACCCGCCTCACGCCCTCTCCATCCATCTCTTGCTGGCTCTTTGTCTCAGTTCCTTGCGCTTGTCTTTCGCAGGCGTGAGATTGATGAAGACGGAGGCTCGAATGATTCATCAGGAGGATGAGGAGAAGGAGATGAAGAAGTAGATGTGTGTTCACTGTTGTTTGTGTTATTTTTGACCGTTGACTGAGCCTTCATTAAATGTAGGTTTTGCAGATATTTGTCATGTCGTCATTTCAGTGCTATTCTGTTTAGAAACACAACTTAGAGTGAAGGAAACATGTCATCATTCATAAAAGAAACAATGTCTGTCTACCAGCAGAACTAATACATTTATTCTGAAAGCGATGATCCATATAGTATGTAACATACAGGTACTGTGGTAGTATAAGATAATGTTTGTACAGCAAGGTAAATCTTAAGAAACCTGTCAATAACATGTTCAGGTCATATTTCACCCCGAAATCAAAAAGGAAGGTTGGGGACTGGGAAAGAAATTATATTTTGCAATTGAGCAGGTTTTGCTCCCTAATTATCATTATGGTAATACAAAAAAGGAAAAGTATTCATACATCATGTTAGTATTTGTTGTGCCTTTAATTAATGTTGACTTAAATAAATACAAAAATATAAAAATAATTCTATCAACACTTTTTAATTGCTATTTTTGCAGCTTTGACTTGCCATAAGTACTCCATCAGAGTTTAAAATAAATTATTGAATATATATACACACACACACACACACACACACACACATATACAAATATATATATATATAGTTTTAAGTGCTGGGCAACGATTAATCACGTCCAAAATAAAAGTTTGTGTTTACATATATGTGTGTATGTATATGTGTGTGTACTGTGAATAATTATTTTGTATATATATATATATACACACACACACACACACACACACACACACACATGCATGTATATATTTAAGACAAATGTGTTATTTAGATATAAAATATTTATATATCATATAAGTTATGTATAAATATGTATACAGTATATACATGCAAATATTTCTTAAATATATACTTGCATGTATTAGCCTAATATATATACCAAATAATTATTCACAGTACGCACACATTATGTAAACCCAAATTATTTTGGATGCGATTAACCGCAATTAATCGTTGCCCAGCACTAAATATATTAAATAGAAATATATATCAAAAAATGTTGATACAATTATATATAATATATATATATATATTAAAACTGTCAAACGATCAATCGCATCCAAAATAAAAGTTTGTGTTTACATAATATATGTGGGTGCACTGTGTATAATTATTTTATATATGCTTGTATATATTTAAGAAATATTTTATATACAGATTTATAATTTATATTATATATAAATATTTTATATAAATAATATATTTTTTTTAAATATACATGCATGTGTGTGTATACAATAAATAATTATACACAGTATACCCACATATATATATATATATATACACTCACCGGCCACTTTATTAGGTACCCCATGCTAGTAACGGGTTGGACCCCCTTTTGCCTTCAGAACTGCCTCAATTCTTCGTGGCATAGATTCAACAAGGTGCTGGAAGCATTCCTCAGGGAGTTTGGTCCATATTGACATGATGGCATCACACAGTTGCCGCAGATTTGTCGGCTGCACATCCATGATGCGAATCTCCCGTTCCACCACATCCCAAAGATGCTCTATTAGATTGAGATCTGGTGACTGTGGAGGCCATTTTAGTACAGCGAACTCATTGTCATGTTCAAGAAACCAGTCTGAGATGATTCCAGCTTTATGACATGGCGCATTATCCTGCTGAAAGTAGCCATCAGAAGTTGGGTACATTGTGGTCATAAAGGGATGGACATGGTCAGCAACAATACTCAGGTAGGCTGTGGCGTTGCAACGATGCTCAATTGGTACCAAGGGGCCCAAAGAGTGCCAAGAAAATATTCCCCACACCATGACACCACCACCACCAGCCTGAACCGTTGATACTAGGCAGGATGGATCCATGCTTTCATGTTGTAGACGCCAAATTCTGACCCTACCATCCGAATGTCGCAGCAGAAATCGAGACTCATCAGACCAGGCAACGTTTTTCCAATCTTCTATTGTCCAATTTCGATGAGCTTGTGCAAATTGTAGCCTCAGTTTCCTGTTCTTAGCTGAAAGGAGTGGCACCCGGTGTGGTCTTCTGCTGCTGTAGCCCATCTGCCTCAAAGTTCGACGTACTGTGCGTTCAGAGATGCTCTTCTGCCCACCTTGGTTGTAACGGGTGGTTATTTGAGTCACTGTTGCCCTTCTATCAGCTCGAACCAGTCTGGCCATTCTCCTCTGACCTCTGGCATCAACAAGGCATTTCCGCCCACAGAACTGCCGCTCACTGGATGTTTTTTCTTTTTCGGACCATTCTCTGTAAACCCTAGAGATGGTTGTGCGTGAAAATCCCAGTAGATTAGCAGTTTCTGAAATACTCAGACCAGCCCTTCTGGCACCAACAATCATGCCACTTTCAAAGTCACTCAAATCACCTTTCTTCCCCATACTGATGCTCGGTTTGAACTGCAGGAGATTGTCTTGACCATGTCTACATGCCTAAATGCACTGAGTTGCCGCCATGTGATTGGCTGCTTAGAAATTAAGTGTTAACGAGCAGTTGGACAGGTGTACCTAATAAAGTGGCCGGTGAGTGTATATATATATAGGCTATATCCTATATATGTTTAAAGAACATCTATTAATTAATCTAATTAAGTTGCATTGTCTTTATGCAAAATATAATTTTCTTGTTCTTTTTGATTTTGGTTTGAACTGAAATAACATCATTTAACTACAACATCACTGCAGAACAGACCTACTGCTGTGTGTGTGCAGTGCTATGGGGTCCGGGTCACCTCCCCCGTCTCAGAGAGATGCTCTGGAGATGTCTGGCCTTGCTACGGGGGTCTGCGGGGTTGCTGTCCTCTTTCTGCGGCCGGGAGGGCAAGTAGGACTTGGCACAGTAACTGGGTTTTTTACTGTATCTGACCAGATGGTATTTGCGGCGGGTCGGAGCTGCAAAAGACAGAGCAAAATCTTAGCGAGGAGGCTGAGCTATTCATATCTGTACATTTAAAAACAAAGGTCCAAAATACCAAAAAATAAAGACTCAAACTCATCATCTGAGCCCTTTGAGTAAAGATTTATTGTCACAAAAGTGCAATTAAGGAGCATTGAAACAAGCATGATCACATGACCACACTTGCCAAATGATTTGATATTTTTCATTTTGAAATAAAAAGTAATGAATGCATCAACAGACATTAATGTAGAAAAAACAAAATTAAGATAAAAACAATATCATGACAAATTACACTCTGGGAAGTAATAAAAAGGTAAACGAAACAATGTGTGTGTACTATATAAAAATGTCTAAGAGCGTGTTTGACTGCAGTGATGCAGTACACTAGATGGCCAACAGATGGCTGCACAGCACCATATGATTAATGAGCTGCTGATCAGAATATTCTTTTATGAAAATGTACTGTGTTTGAGTGACGGTGAAGTTAAACTGTACGTGGGGATTTTAAACCAAAAAATAAATAAAAATAGCTTAGTTTTGACACTAACAGAGGTTTCCTGACAAACACATGTAGGCTACTAAGCTGAACACGTGACAGTTACTACAAAGCCGACGTAAACACTCGTTAAGGCAGAATCTCATTGTGCCATATTTACTCATCAACTTCAATATTCTATAAATGTACAGCAGTTCACCTATACAATCTCACATTATGAGCCTAAACAAGGTTAAAAGGGACTGATATGATATGTATCATTATCATTCTGTTACCGTCTTATCATAACTCGCACTGCTTGATTAACATGTCACCAACTCTAAATAATAAAGGTTTCAAAAGAGGGGTTTACCATAGAACCATTTTTGGTTTCTGTCAGTGAGCAGTTCTTAAAGGATCAATTTATTATTTCAAAAGTCCACTTTAGCAGTCGATAAGTGACTTTGCAACTACATGTCAACTAGCAGTCAACTACTAGTTTGCTTAATATCTGCTAACATTTGATTTTGATGAGCAGACATTCTACTAAGTAACTTTGCAAGTATATGTTAACGTATTCTATTAACCTGAGCCCTAACCTAACAGTCTATTAATTTTCTAAGAGTTAACACGTAGTTGCAAAGTTACTTATAGATAGTAGAATGTCCAAAGTGTAACCAAACATTTAATTCTTAGAATGAAGAACATTTTAAAATGTATATGTTCCATGAATGTTAAAGGTTCTTCATGGAACCATCAATGGCAACAAAGAACTTTTTTGTTTTTAAGAGTGTGTGTAAAATTAAATAGAAGGAGGGGGGCATTAACCAACCCCATTATTAACCAAAACAACAACAACAACAACAAAAAAAACAATTACAGAACAAAATAATATCATATATAATATTCATAATATTTTATAATGGCACTGTATCAACCAATCAAATTAGCTTTGCAAAGTTAAGAGCAACATGCAAACTCAACTTGAGCTTTTCCAGTAAAAAAAACAAATCTCTCAGATCTGAAAAAAAAGAAAGAAAAGAAAACATTGACAATAAAAAAAAAGGTCAAGATATGATTCATAACCCAGAACCAAGGACAACTAAACAGGAAGATGAACACGACACAAATGACAACAGAGATAACTCACACGGATCAGGAATTTACAACAGATTTAAGGCAATAACGCTTCTTTCTTTTTTATCTTTCTTTCTAATCAACGACTCAATTTAAGTATGCATTGAATGATGGCTTGCAGTGACCTCCAGTTAAATGACGTACAGACATTATAATCATCTTTGGTTGAGGCAACAGAGACATTTACACAGGATTTCACTTTTTTTTTTCTGTTTTACATCATTTTAGTTTTCTACATTTGACCATTTATGTATGAAACTAACATACAGAAAGATTCACATGAACAGGTGCATTATACTGTGTGTGACACGCACTCTGAGAAGATGGCCGGCACAGACAAAGACATAAATACCTCGCTAGGACAGTGAACTAAAGACTAATATCCGCATGCAGCATCTAACACATCAAGATGCTTGTGCTCATACTTTATTCTATTTCTTCATTTACCAGATTAAAAAAAAAAAAATTCCCCTTTTATCTCTGTCAATTCTCAGAGATTGGAGTAAGCATGAATAGTACAATTCATCTATATTGTTCATACCAAATTTCCCTATAAACACTTCATAAATAATATAATATTTTATATACATCAAATACAAAAATAGAAGAGAATTCAAAATACAACCTAATGTCCAACCAAAATAAGTACATGTACTGCATTTTTAAGGTCAATGTTTGCAGAGGGCTGGAAAACAAAATTGGCCTACTACAACTGCCTCATATAAGAAAATCAGATTTGTTTTTAAAGGGCAGCTATTTGAATGCAAAATTCAATAGTATTTGTTCAATTTAATGCAAAAAATATCTATTTAAAAATGATAATGTACTAAATATTAAAAATTCGATTTTTTTCCCATGTAATTTCACAATATCCAGCTGATATAGATGCATGTTGTGCGAATCACATACGACAGCATAATTTGAATATTCAGTCGTATTGTGACAGAACTGATCATTTGTGTGGATAATCAGTCTCAATGAGTTGATCATTGTTCGTTAAACTAAACCCATTCACAAGAATCTCCTGAAAAGCATAATGTACTCACGTGATGGAAACTGTACAGTGTCAACATCAACAGGAACATCAAATCCACAACTAACACAAACAATGATAAAAATAAGAGGTAAACGAACACCAGACATTATTTGACGGCCCGTTGAAGGCGATAAGTTCTCCCTCCGTTCGCGGTCTGTGCAGGTTTGGCAGATGTTGCGCCGTCCCCGTCGGAAGAACATCTGGATGCTTTCCACAGTCATCTTCATGTGTGACAAGAGTTTCTCTGCGTTTCTCTGATGGCCTTGTGCATCTCTGAACCAAAAGCTGGCAAACATCCTTAAGGTCGGATGCGAATCAAAACGAGTATGAAAAAACGAATGCGAAGATTGTCCACCAGAGACAGACAGATGTGATTTTAAGAAAAAAAAAAGAAAAAAGAACCACCAGGTGACAGCATCGCACAGGGTTTGGAGTCCTGCAGAAACGGAGCTGCTAGTTTGCATCGGGCGCAGATGCTGCCAGTGAAGACGAGGAGATCCCACAGTTACTGTGCTCGTCTTCAGAGTCTGCAGAGGAGAGCACATATTGGCCACATTTAGAGCTCATGTTCCACCGCTCGGACTGATGTCTGACAGGGGAATGAGGTGATACCACAACTCACATGCCACGAGTTCAGATGGAGGGAATTGAACTTATTTTGATGAATTGGATGAATGAACTGGTTTCTCCTTGACTTTTAGGGATACTTCAATGAAAAGCGTATTCTATCGTTATGTCGTTCCAAACCCTTATGGTTTTCTTTCTTTAGTGGAACACAAAAGGAGTTATTTTGCCAGAATGTCTTGGCTGTTCTTTCATTCGACAAAAGCACCAAAAAAAGCACGGAAAACTATAGTATACACCCCTTTTGCGCCGACGTCACAGGCAAAACAAAGTTAAAACTGGAGGCGGCCAATACAAACCAGAACAGATTCGGCTACATAATAAGGAGCTTAAAGTATTGTTTCTATTATTAAATGTCATCTTGTTTGGTGCAAGAATTGACGGAAAATGAATATGCTGTACCTGGAATTTTTATTTCTAGAAAATATTCACATCAAAACCGCACCGTAATGTCACTCTTTATAATGTCGTGGTCTTGGCAGAACTGTGGATCGTACACACAAGTCTTGTACAGGACCATATCTAAAGATTTATATGCCCTCAGTTTCTCTTTACGATCGGTTTCTCTATAAGGTAGGTGTAGAAGTCAGGCCACTCAATCGAAGTAACGTAACGTTAATCCTGTCAGATCGTCCATGCGTTGAGTGAGTGTGTAACGTTAGGCGGCTACGGGTCGGCCATTCTAGTTCCGTCCGTTAAAAATAACTTTTGAAAATAACAATCGCGGACCTGGACACTGAGTGACCTTACACATTAAGATAAAATCGGATTTTCTCCAGTCATTGTTAAAAAACAAGCTAACAATACTTGCTAACTAGTGTTCTGCCTCCACCTAAGCTCCGCCCACAAAAAAACGTCACCATGTTTACCAACTGAAAAGGGCTCTATTAGTCATTTGACTTTACATCTTGTTTTGTTACAGTATGTTTGAAAGCACTCCAGAACAAGTACTTTTTGTCTTATTTTCCAGCTAAATGTATATTTTAAAGTCTGCTAAGCCACACCCGAAAACCGCTACTGGCCAATCGTGTCTTAGCAAGCGTAACTAGGCGCGGGAGGTCTGGCAAGCTTTCGAGCGAGGGTAACATGCCAAAGCATTGTACGTATGGATTGTGCAAATCTGATACTGGTATCCTAAAAGTTTGGATGGGAGAGTGGAATTGTTTTCCTTCCCGAAAATCTAAAAGCCAAGGGGAGAGACGCGAAAGCTTGACAGGCGTAGCAACAGTAACTAGGGAGGGCGGGGCTTAGGGAAGGGTCAATTAAGAGAATCCTGAAAAAATGGTATCACGTTTTCCCACAAAAATATTAAGCAGCAAACTGTTTTCAACATTGATAATATAATAATAATCAGATTTCTGAAGGATCATGTGACACGGAAGACTGCTGAAAATTCAGCTTTGCATCACAGGAATAAATTCACATTTTTAAATATATTCAAATAGAACAGACTTCAAATTATTTTTGATGAACTAAATGCAGGGAAAGAAAGTCATACAGGTTTGGAACAACACGCGCAGAGTAAATGGTTTCCTTTTTGAACTATTGCAAGAATGAGAAATGCAGAGGTGAAAGAAGGTCAAACCAAGATGTGTTTTTGTTTTTCTGAGAGGAAATGAACCTGAAGTGACTCTCCTGCAGATAGCGGCTGAATCCCAATCGACATACTATCAGTTCTACCTACCTAAAATCATAATAATGTTGAAAAAAAAAGTATGCTAAAGGTGCCTGGATGGCAAACTACTTTAGTAGAATCCTGTATTCCTGGATGTTTTTTTTGGATCAGTGTGACTCCCAAGATGATAGTTTCCCTGATGTGTTATGGGAGTGCAATTTCTTGATTTTGTAGTCAGTGTAGTACACTGTGTCCTAATCAGATGCAACACAATAAAAGCTCTTCCATAGTAATTTGAGTTTTTGTTCTAACCAAGAACAAGACAATCATTCTTTTGTCATAATGATCTGGGTAGCTCCGCCCTCAGTGAAATCTGATTGGTCAAAACATCCGATATGTCCTCATTTGCGGTAATCTTGGTTTTCAGCTTGGACATGTTTATACGCCAGGTTAGAACACAGTGTTCATTGTATAAATTAGGATTCAGCCACTATGTGATGCAGTTAATAGCAGTTAAAGGAGTTACCGTCTGATCTCTTGCTTTCACTGTCGTCACTGTCAGACTCAGGTGAGTTCAGTTCCTCGTTTCCTGACATTCAGATAAGACACGCGTCACTAACAGAGTCTGCTTATGGCATACAAACAAACAAGGAAAAGAAAAGACGAGCGCTTTTCTAATATAAGCACCCATTTCGCCTATTACACTGATCTGAAGCGCCTGCGCCCTCAGATCACTGTGGTTACAAGAGGTAAAAACGATATAAATACTGTTCGTTTTCTTACACAAACCGCTCGTTTCGTGTCTTAGGCCATCAATGTGTACTTACATTTACGAGTCATTAAATCATGTTTAATTTGGACTTCTCTGTGCATGCTCTTTTAGGTGGTGACCATATACCTCCATTATATGACTGACAGACAAGAACGGTTTGACCTAAAAATATCAAAATTGAAAATACTGTGGAAACAAAGACACCTACATCTTGGATGCCCTTGAGGTAAGCTAAAACATACCAAAAATTAATTTCAAAGTGAACTATCCCTTTAACTGCTGCTTACTCACTGCTGTTATTTTTGTTGTATTGAGATGAAAGCTTGCATCACATTTTTACACACTCATCTAACTCATCTCTAGTTGGGATGTAAACCGCTGGTCACGTATTTTGAACGTCTTTTCACCTTTAAGCAAAGAATGAAAAAGAACTTTGCCTTGAGTATATCGGGCCCTAAACAGTCAACTACACATTACATGGCAATCTTTACACCATACTGCATACTATCAATTGTATTGTATACACTATTGAGCACACTACACAACATTGACCACTCTACACATTATGAGAATAAGAATTAGAGTGCGCTACAAGTATAGTAAAAACTATTGAGAACAAAGCCACCTTATTTCCAACATGTAACAGTTTGGATGCGACAGTGCTTGGTTACAACACAAACAATGACAATGGTAAGCTAGGAAAAAAGTGGTAAAGCAAGAATAGTGCAGCTTATGATAGGGATAGATTGATACATTGCCATTGAAATATGGTTTATCAGCATAGTATGAAAACAGTTATTTTTGCTTAATTTTTTATTAATTTTGAGGAAAGGTTTTAAACTATTTATATTTATTAGGAAATATAAAATTAAATAAATAAAAATTCTGACATTATTTACACATATAAAAGCAAAAAACACCCAAAATAGTATATTTTTTAATATTCAACATAGTATTTTTAATTATTATTTATGTACTTTTTTTTTTTTTTACTGCTATCATCCAGTCAGTCTCTAGATATCGAAATTGGCTTTGGCCATTATCATAGCCCATATCAGTCAACCCCTACTTTATATCATGTATAATGTAAATCAAAGGTCAAAGGTCACCAAGTACTCTAAAGTACCAGTCAGTACAGGTGTTTTGGTTAGGACACAAAAGGCACCACATTTTGTTAAGAAATATGAACATAATATTGCAAATAACAGTATATAATAAATGAATTATAAAGAACTGTTGTGAACTTTGACACTCACCGTTGAGTGCTCGCAGACTGTTGTCCGTGTCACTGCTGGTCTCGGGCTCTTTGGCATCAGACGCTGGTGTTTGAGCCCCATTCACCCCCCCGGGGTCTTTATTGCCCTCTTCCTCTCTGGGCTCCTTGTTGTCAACTGTGGCTTTGCTTGAGTCTTCTTGATCTGTCTTTGCATCCTTCTCTTCTCTTGTGTCTTCCTTCAGTTTGTCTTGAGAATTCACACTTGAGTCCGTGTTGATTTTGTCTTCTGTTTTAGTATCAACATCTTTGCTGTCACTGCTGTGTGTGTCTGTGTCCGTTTTCTTTTCTTTCTCCTCGATCTCTTCCTGTTTAGCCTTTTCTTCTAGATCTAACACACAAATGTAGTTCATTATCCATTAGTTCATGTCCTCGCACTATCAGGCTTCTGATTTGGATACATTTTTTTTTAATGTCTTTATTTAATCTGAAATAAAGACTGTACTTTTGTGACACTGTTACTAATTAAATTTCTATTTGATTATATTTTAAAATGTATTTTTTTCCTTTGATGGCAAAGCTGAATTTTCAGTCTTCTTTCAGAAATCATTCTAATATACTACGTACTGATTTGAACATTTCTTTACTGTAACTTTGATCAATTTAATGTGTCCATGCAATTTCTGTTAAAAAAAAAAAACAATAAAAAAACGTACTGACCCCAAACTTTTGAATGGCAGCATACATAAATTAAAAAAAGGAAATAACAATACATTAAAAATGTTAAACTACTGTATATGATCCAAGTGTATTCTTTGTATTGAGCCAAGAGTTCAGTACGGAAGCCCTGAACTGCAACGTAAAAAAATAAAAATAAATAAAAATACAACATTTCGAGACTAAAGTCAAAACGTTTCGAGATTTCAGACTGGATGCAGATATCAAGCTTTATGAATGAATGAATGAATGAGGCATTTAGATGTCTACTCTTTTCATATGTCTACTAGGCCTACACAAAGGACTTTACAACAATCATATCAGATAATCTCTCCTCAACCACCATTAGTGGTTATTAAATTTGAGGAAAATCACGGGATAAAAGTAAAAAGCTACTATTTTGTGTTGATCCATCATGGCAGTTCGACTTCACAAGTGTATTTCTTTACACACACACGCGCGCGCTCTGAGCCAGTGCACATGCACTGTTATGAATACACCCAAATCTATGGAAGACTGTATTATCGTAATGTTTCGATTTTAATCTCGAAACGTTTCGACTTTAACTAAAAAAAAAAAAATACAAATAAAAAAAATCTAGCATTTTGAGATTAAATTCGAAACGTTTCGAGATTAAAGTCAAAACGTTTCGACTTTAATAAAAAAAATTGTAAAAAAAGTAAAAAGAGTCAGAGTTTAACAATCTTTTAAAATATCCTTGCATTTCTCCTCTTACATTTGCATAAGTATGACTAGAAATGAATGAAACAGGATGTATAATGTGACAGCAAGTTAATGCTAATGCCAGAAAACATTTATTTTTTTTATTGATAAAGTGCTCCTCTGAGATCTGCGGTTATGTCGTATGTCACTCCACAGTCATAATTTAATATTACAACATTTTATATACGCAATATGTGCAAAATGGGGATCAAGAGTCATGCTAGGGAAGATTCATGCTTGTTTATTTGTTAAGCTTGAATCTTTTATTCATATTGAATTCATTTATATTTTTACAAGATGAGTAGTGCTCCCCTTGCATACTAAGGTATTGTGAATGATGTGTGGTTGCCCTTAGTCTCAATGATTTTCTGGTCTCTAGATATGGCTTGGATCCATCATCAAGCTACACTAGCTGCACAATTTGATGTATCATTTATGAATGTTCAGCATAAGTTACAAGCTATTCAGTGTTAGGGGTTTGTTTAAATCCCCAACCCTTATATTAGTCTGAGCGGCAGTAACAAGCAGAGCTAATAATTTACATTGCAACATCACGATTTATCTTGATATGAAAGTGTTTTTCGGGGTGTGTGCGTTCTGTACATGTGTGCGTTTCTACCTTTGGCGGCTTGTGCTTTCCATTTTTCCCGGTTTTTATGCAGTTCCTCGTTCCAGGTGACTTTGAAGGTCTTAAATTCGACAGCGTTTATGGAGCAGTTATGGGAAGTGCCGCCCTCCGAACCGGTGCTTCTCACACTAGACCGTTTCCCATCTGACGGGATGTTATTCAGACTGCACAAACAGAGAAATGCTTTATTTAGCTTATTTAGTAAATGTTTGTCTTATGTGGAAGTACATCACTTTTAAGTGTAGTGTCATTAGTTGTCAAGCTGATGAAGGATACATTTTGACCAGTCGGTTTCATTTTTGGTTTAAATCAATTTGCTGATAACTTGATTTGTGAACCTCTTTTACTCACTGACAAGAACCGACTTAAAATACTTTTTCCCCACAAAGTTCAGGGCTTCCGTAGAAGAGCAATATCTGTTAATACAATATTTTTGATCAGAGCAGATCTACAAAAATATTATTTCACTGTAGAATACCACAGAAAATGATTTCCAGACTTTTTAAACTGAAGTTCAGTATGTTATTCCTGTTGCTGGTTTTTGCTCCATGTAAACATTCAATTTCTTCTATCTTTTTTATGCGACATTACTGGCTTAACATGGTCATAAAAAGTACTTTGATATCATTTTGGATAGACAAAGCTAATATGTGACTATATCAAACCAATCTCATGTTAGCATGTATACTATGTGTATTTTTTATCCCTGTGCAATACCCACATTTTTTTTTGTATCTTCTGTTGTAAATTAATTACTGTACACATGACTTTTGCTTGTTTCTATACAAACTGAAGGATGATTTTAAATAATTTTCATATACTGTATACACTTGCTTTCAAAAGTATGGGGCTGGTGAGATTTTTATAATGTTTTTGAAAGATATTTATTGGCTGCATTTAAAAACAGTAAAATCAGGAATAATGTGAAATATTTTTTACAATTTGAAATAATTTTGTATATAATTTTGAATATATTTACAAAATACAATTTTATTCCTGTGATGATATAGTTCAGTGTCTCTTCAGTGTCACATGATCCTTCAGAAATTGTGATTGATCACATGATCCTTCATTCTAGCATGATGATTTGCTGATTAATATTTCTGTGGAAACCAAGATGCATTTATTTTTTCAAGATTCTTTGATGAATAGCAAGCTCAAAAGAACAATTTATTGGAAATTTGAAATGTTTTACTTGTTATAAATGTAATGCTTCTTTGCAGAGAAAAAGTAGTCCCTTGCTATAAAACAAATAAAAAATGCAGACCCCAAACTTTTGAATGTCAGTTCTTTAAATATGGAGCTTTTAATAATTGCCGCTCACTCAATTGTCCTCACCTGGAGCGCCTGAATCCAGCCAGGCCAGAAGAGGGTGAGGCCTCTTCGATCAGCGGAGTCACTATTTTATCAATCATGTCTGTCAGCACAGTGAAGGTGGGGTCCACAATGAAATCAATGAAACCTGTTAGAAAAGTGAAACACAGCATTATAATACAGGGCATACCATATCATATTAATTCACACACATCACTCACTGATCACTCACCGATCTGAGACTGGGCCACCATGGTAGACTTGCGGTCACATAAAGGAGAGAAAGGAAGTCCAAGCTCTGCCTCCTTATCGCCCTGTAACACAAAGCAGAAGAGCACAAGCATTAGCACCAATTAGCATGGGTGATGAACTGAGAAATCAAATTTCCTTGAGCTTTTGACATCTCATATTATAAGAATATCCTGTAAATTTCAGAACTGAAAACGTCCTTGTTAGTCCAATAAAAGCTTTTATTGACACCAGCCTCATCAAGCGACTCTTTTTTCAAAGTGGGGAACTATGACGTCAAAGAGGATAAAACACCACCACAAGAAGATCGACGCCTACTTCAACACGGCCGTTAGCCCCGTCCACCGATTCTCGCATTTCACGCATAGCTAAATAACATAGATGCCTACCACGTGAAGACAAAACGGATCCAGCTACCGAGCAATAAACATGCCGTTTACAAAATATTGTTGTGGAAGAAGACAGTCGCTGCATAAGCGAGTGAGTTGAAACTCATTATAATATGCAAATCTGTTATCCACTCACAGCAGTGGGCGTTTACTTCCAAGTCTTCAGTGCAAGACGCCCATAAAAACCCAGTGTTTTTGAGCTGGCTCAAAACTAGCCTATTACTTATTCATGTTTTTGAATGTAAAAACCAAGCGAATGTCATAAGTTGACCTCATACAACAATTTAAAAAAATTAAAAAGCCAGTTCATGACCTCTTTAATAGATTTGAACATTTCTGGTAGCACTTTATTTTATTCATGTTTCGCATGTAGTTATTATAATAAGTGGGTAATAGTTCTGAAACATAGTATATTGACTTTTATTTCAAAAGATCAAGAAATTAGACCTGATATGACCCCTTTAGTACCTGACCAATCCAGACAATAAAGATTTTGGTTCATTGCAATTCAACTGGAATCCCTTGTGTTCAGCTCAGCTGCTTTCTCATTATTCCTCTGATTCAGCCCATAACACTTAATTTGCAAATATCATAGATAATCCTGAGAAACGATAGCTGTAATTTTCTTTGATATGATTGTCTTTAGGCAAAATAATACAGCTACGACCTCTAAAAAAGGCTTTTAACAAATTACGTTCCACGGGATGTTTTGCAAATCACACCTCTCACGGTCATCACCAATTTCCTTGGCGATATTTCATCCTGACCCTGAAATTTCAATTATAATTTCCGTGGGGTGATTTACCTGCAATGAACCGATCAGTTATTAGCCTAAACGTCAATAAATCATATATTCAATTTCACTCGTGTAGGAACACCAAGATGGGACCGGTGAGATATCAAATCAGACAATGGCAAGTTAATTGGTTTGGCACAATAGGAGAGATAATCATGTCTTAAAAACACACTGTTAATATCAGAATTAGATTTCGTTCTCATTTAGCAACTCAACCGCATTGTATATTCAATCAAACAAGAAAGAAAACGTACTTGAGAGCAACTCTGAATGAATTTCAACATCTTCATAGAGATGCAAAAAAGCTGATGGAATGGAGTGACGCAGTCGAGATTCAAATGTTGAGGTTAGAATGCGGGAAATGGACGTTTAGAGGAGATTAATGGGATTTTTACAGTGGCCGTTACAGGCTTGGAATGCAAAATAAGATTAAGACTCAATTTTGAGATTAGATCAGAGTGCTGATGACCACAGAATGGGAACATGGACGATGAAATGACGTGCGAGAGAGAGAGAGAAAGTGCTCACTGTATGATTGAAGAACTATAAAGATGTCTACGGGACACTGTTCTCAGCTTCAGACAGCACGCCCACAGGCCATTCATGATGCATATTGCACACAAAAATAGCAAGAGCTTACTCAAAAGCTCAATCTCCAGTCTGATTGTGAACACAATTTCCGGGAGTCGGGTGCACAGGGTTTTTATAGGCCCACTGGGAAACAAAGCTGTGTTTACAAGGTATTGGTCTGCTGCAATGATGAGCACTTTCTAGGATGGATTTGCGGCAAATGAAATTCAGATCGGAGACATTTAGAGTTTAGTTTGAGGCACTTAGGCTAAATCCCAATTCACCTCTTGGCCCTACCACTTGTTTTCGAGTGTAAAACGGAGTTACAAGGGCCAAGGGGTTGAAATATTCCCCTACGAAATGAAACAAACCCTTCACGAACCCGATACGTCATCAGTCGTCGGCGATGGCTCTGCCGTTACAGAGTTTGTACGGGATTTCTCCATGACAACAACTGACAATCAACGCAGTTGCTCTTAACTTTGAATTAACATGATGATTATAACATCCCTTCCTCGAAATGTATGTCTTTTCTGATCGGAAAGGTAATTTCCTATACCATTCTTCATTTAAACGACTATAGTGTTATTATAAGAGTGAATAAAGTGCGTGGTGGAATCATCTGGCGCTAAATTTAAATGTTTAACCGTTCGGTGATTTCCGATGCATTACGTGAACTTTTCTCTTAGCCCTCCGTTTGGAGTGTGCCTCTAAAAAATCTCAGTTTCGAGGGCTACCCCTTCGCCCTACCCCTCGATCTCAACAAGAATCGGGACACCCTACCCCTAGACGTGAACGCGCAAAACGGAGGGGTAGGGCTAAGGGGTGAATTGGGATTGAGCCTTACTTTGTAGCTATAGTAAACAGGATATCCTTGAGGGCAACTGTAGATTTGAATATTTTTTGCATTTGTTTACACACACTTACTGTAGTTTATGTATGGATTATTCAGCATTTATTCTTGTCAAATCAAGAAGAAAAAGAAGAAAACGTATTTTGCATTTGGATTTTTTTAAAGATAATTACAGGCATTTTGTCCTCAAATTCTAATTACCTTAATGCAATAAATAAATAAATAAATAAAATTCTCATCACAAAATGATCCTGTCTGGACACATTTTTTATTATTAAAATAAGAGTGTATTACAAATTAAAAAGAAATGAGACCATATGTATAAATACTTTGCAGTTTATTTAAATTAATGTCTTTATTTTATATTTAATTGATAAAATATATTTTATATATATATATAATAATTAATAAATTAATAATTGATTCCACTCCTCCAATTTTGTTACCATACACATATATGGTAACAAAATTGGAGGAGTGGAATCAATTATTAATTTATTAATTATTATTAATAAAGTGTTAATAATTTAATTAACTTATTCATATTTAATTTACTATATAATTATTTAATTGTTAATTTGTTCAATTATTAATTCATATTATATCAGCATATTATATATATACTTTTTTTGTGAAAATATAATTTCCTTTTTTATTTCTTTTGGTTTTAGGGTTAAACATGACCCAGAATAAGTTTGATAAGACTTCTATAATTCGAATATATAAGACGTTACACTGAAATCCAAAGGTCTCGGGACACTGACCTGTCTGAAGAACTCCTCCAGCAGTGAGGTGGTCCAGCGGTGGTGCATGTTCCAGTTTTTGGCAGGGTGGCTGATGTCAGCGGTGTGCAGTAACAGGGATAAGGCCTTGGGTTTATCAATCCTGCAGAGGACAGAGATGTTCAGCCCCTCAGAGCTGTTATAAACACTCTGTCCAACCTCTCATTATGTGGATATGAATATCTGTAGATGCAGAAATGTTTTCGAATCAACAGTGTGTGATTATCTTCCTCCTCGTTACCCTGATGTGTGTGAGCGAACTTACGCTTCCGGCTGCTGGAGTAAGTTCTTCATGGCTTTAATCTGCTGGAAGTGACAGGACATGTCGGTGGCCAGGACCATCTCGACCACCAGGGCCCTCAATTCTCTGAAAGAAAGAAAAATTGAAGTAATACTTTACAGCATGTTACATTCAGTAAAGAACTAGATTTAATCTTTTGATTATATATAAATCCATATATTTAGATTTGATGTAAATTGTACACTCAAAAATATTTGACCTTAATCTGGCACAGGGCAGATCATATATTTAATTTCAGTCATAAAATGATTTTCATGTGCATTTACTGCATTTTATGTAATATAGGCTCTTCATGTAAGCATATTAGTTAGTTATTAGTTATTATAGGTTCTATAAAGCAGTGGTTTTCCGAGGTAGGTATAAATATCGTTTTTACATATTCTATTTTATTCATATATTTAAAAAATGTAAATATTGTATAATATTAATTTCACATATTTATCATGATATATTATTCACACTTTATACATGAAAATATATAGCAACCTTTATTGGATAAGAAGTGGATCCATTGCAAGTGGATGATTTTATTTAGTGGTTAATTGCATTAAAAAAAACGTTTGAAAACTCCTGCAATAAAAGCCCCCGAAGTTAATTGTGGAACTTCAAAAATATTCTCCTCAAGCAAGATTATGGATTTAGCTAATTTGAGGGTTGCCACACGTTTCTAACCTCCAGTCATCTTTCGACAAATTGTAGAGGATGTTCATTTCATCGTCTTCCTGCAGGAGGCGATATGCAGCGCTCACGTGGTGGTTTTCCTGTACGGCGCGGTCATTGTACAGTATGGCTGTGTCGGATCTGTAAAACACAAGTTCTGTTCAAGGCCACACTGATGTATAGGGTCTGCTGAACTGAATGATACTGGTGTTTACTTTCAGTCATACCGGGTCTGTATGTGGAAGTTGTTGGTAGTGCCAGTGTGTTCGTAATCGTGCACAGCCGCGGCAAACAGCATAGCGAAGATCTCTAACTCGGTTAACCAATTCTGGAAGAAAGGAAACAACAAGAAAAATGCTGCAGAAACAAGAAAATCCCTTTAGATTCCCAGTTCAATTCTGATTCACAAGCTTGATTTGATTCTGATTCTTCTGGATACATTTCAGCTATGATGTTCATAAAGTACTGGATAGTATTTGAGACTGATTCAAACCAGTAACTCGTCTTTTTGAACTATTCATTAAAAGTTATAAGGGTCGGAATCAGACTCCACTGCTTGCCCTGTATATTCTTGATTCACTAAAATGGACTGGCTCAAATGAGTCATACGTTCAGAAATCAGACTAGACTGGTCAGACTATACATTTTTGATTCACTAAAAAAGGACTGGCTCAAAAGAGTCATTTGTTCAGGAATCCAACTCCAATGCTTTACATTTTTGGATCACTAAAAAAGGACTGGCTCAAAAGAGTCATTTGTTCAGGAATCTGATTCCAATGCTTTACATTTTTGATACACTAAAAAGAACTGTCTCAAAAGAGTGAAACGTTCAGAAATCAGACCACACATTTTTGATTCACTAAAAAAGGACTGGCTCAAAAGACTCATTTGTTCAGGAATCCGACTCCAATGCTTTGTATTTTTGATTTACTAAAACGAACCGGCTCAAAAGAGTCATACGCTCAGAAATCAGACTACACATTTTTGATTCACTAAAAAAAGACTGGCTCAAATGAGTCATTTGTTCAGGAATCCGACTCCAATGCGCTACATTTTTGCTTCACTAAAAGAACTGGCTCAAAAGAGTCATACGTTCAGAAATCAGACCACACATTTTTGATTCACTAAAAAAGGACTGGCTCAAATGAGTCATTTGTTCAGGAATCCGACTCCAACGCTTTACATTTTTGATTCACTATAAAGGACTGGCTCAAAAGAGTCATTTGTTCAGGAATCCGACTCCAATGCTTTACATTTTTGATTCACTAAAAAGAACTGGCTCAAAAGAGTCATTTGTTAATGAATGAAACTACACTGGCTGTCTTGTGATGTTTGTTTTAAAGTGCAGACTTTGAGGACAACTCAATAGAAATACGTTTTTGTGCCTTGTGACCAAACACCAGAAAACACTCCAAACACCATTTGTGTTAAACTTTCTTCAGAAAGTGTAAAAAAAAAAACACTTAAACAGACAGTTTAAAACCCAATTCCGTATTCTTCTATAAACAATAATATCATTCTGCTGAACTGAAGACAAGCATACAGGAAACTAAATTATTCTTCTGCACACATATTCTTCTGTGCATAACATTATCTTGTATAATCACTAAATCACCAAAGAGCCAGAATAACAAAAGCAAATCATCAGTGGTGTAAATGCTAGGGGGCAAATAATTTGTCAGAACGCCATGTGAAGTCCACACATCACGGAGAGGTTAATGAGCCCACTGCGGGAGTGACAGGAGCGTATTTTGAGGCGTCGAGGGAGATTAACTTCCTATCGATTGGTATATGAGCGGCATCATGAAGTGAGTACGGACCGTTCTGAGGGTCCCAACCTCAATAAATACCTCAAGTGCAGCGTCAGACTTAATAAAACATACTTCAACAGCTCAGTTCACTAGAAATAACAATAATAAACAACCGAGGGGACTCGATGTACATGATTATTTTACTCAAGCACACATAAACATACACAAATCCCAGATGGCAGGACTGTTGATTAAATTCACACAGCATAGGAGACTTTTTTGGGGGGAAGAAGGTTTCTGGCGGTGCAATACTGGACTTACAACCATGCCGGTCTTGAGCAGAAGGTAATGCACTGTCTGGGTGACGTCGGCGGCGTGGATTAGGTTATGGTATGGGTTTCTGTATTTGCTGTAGCCCACCTCCAAGGCCTCCACAAAAGACACCAGAGCAGAAACAGGGATCTGAGAAGATGCACAAAAAGGCCTTAAAATCGGCATGAAACAGAAGTTGCGATAGTCTATTCCTCCCTATTTTCCCATATTTCTAACTGTATGTTCACACCGCTGCCGACTTGAGTGTCAAATAAGCTCTGGCCGCCCTGTCAAGGATGCTTGTCAAAAAGTATGGGGAAGCTTGTAGACCCTTTGGACGCTTTGAACGTTCTGACGTTGCAGGGAGAATACGACAATCATCATGACATCACACCAGTAATAAACGTTCTTCATGGGTGGCAAAAGCCGAAGTGCTCCCATGGCAATGCTAGCTAGTAAATTGCTTGGAAGGGAGACCCACCATCAAATGTAAAAATGTTTTTTTTTTTATTAAAAATAATGCGTTTTTTTTATCATAATAACAAGTTTTTAATGATATGAGTAAAAAAATATCATAAATATGTAATACAGTCCTACACACAATTAGTAAAATACTCTCTAGCTCATTTTTCTTGGCAAAATAACCTACCATGGTAAATTAAATGGCTTTCCTGAGGTAAATGTTATGTGACAATTGTTCTCCAGCTGTTATATATATTAACCTGTTTGCTCGGTTTACCGATTGGTCGATAATATGAAAAAATGCGTGAAAAAATGGATGTGTGGCGTGAGAGCGTGTGAAGAGTCAATGCGTGAGAGTGGGCAGTTCACCTTTTGCCGTAAATTTGGCAATGATTAGCTTCTCTTCCATTTTCTCGGAGCTAATGTTTTGGTAGGAACGAAAGTTTACATTCACGTTTCTCCGGAATCAGCCAGCGTGAAGGACGTCTATATTCCGATTGGTTGCTGGCTGAACCGCGTCACAGCTCATTACCATAAAGTTGAGCTTCTTTCAACTTTCTGATTGACGCTCAAAACGGCCAAAACACGACGCCGATGGATTTGCTCCTTGCAGCTGAGAAAAGCCAGCTTCCATTGAAAATGAATGACTCCCGGCCGCTTTGGAAGCTGAAGTCGGCGGCGGTGTGAACGTACAGTAAGTGAAACTGCTTCTCAAACAAGAACAAATTTAGGGTGAGACTTGGTTTTGTCAATCAGGAATTGATTGAATTGTTGGATGGTTGTGGTTTGCTATTGGTCGATCTCATGTGAGTGACAGGTTGCTCCGCCCTCGCGCTAGTCATTAGAGAAGAGAAGAGATGTCGTTTTAAGTGGGAGGTTGTTTAAAGATTACGAGGGCACAAGAATTGAAAAAAATAATGATGTGCACAGATACAAATTTTTTAATGAATACTGCAAAAATTAATTATAAAATAAGAATTTCATGGCGACTTTAGAATAACAACCCACAGTGTCAAACAGCCATTTGTAGATGTTTTTGCTATGTAATGTCATTATTATGATTACATTCAAACATGCTATAAATGTGATTTCAAAAGTGATGGTAAATGAAGGTAAATACATCAATCTTTTACATGACATTATTATTTACTCAGATCAACAATACCATGATATTACAAAGGAAAACACTCTGAGATAACAGTCTTAAATCTTAAAATGAAAACAAAAGAGAGAGCATCTTACCTTAAAGCGATTGATTAAATCATATCTGGTCAGAAGTTCATAAAAAATAAATTTCAGTGAATGTTCTGAACTGGCATCATTCAGCGTGAAGACGTCAAACGACCACGTGTCCACATGCTAGACCAACAACAAAACAGACAGATCTGTCAGTGTGTTTACATCTTTACCATTATATCAATACAATCAACATTTGTATTGTATCAATACATTTCTTGAGGTCTGTAAGATTCATTAATGTTTTTAAAAGAAGTCATTTATGCTCATAACTTAAGGCTGCATTTGGGTGATTAAAAACAGGAATGATATTGTGAAAATGTTATAACAATTTAAAACAGCATATTTTATTCCTCTAATGGCAATTTATTCCTCTAATGGCAAAGCTGAATTTGCAGCATCATTACTCAGATCCTCCAGAAATCATTCCAATATGCCGATTTGGTGCTCAAGTAAAAGTGTTTATTTGAAATATAAATATTTTGTTACATTATAAATGTCACTTTTGATTAATTTTATTCGTCATTTCTGAATAAAAGTATGTTTCATTCAAGAGAAAAAAAATCACTGACTCTAAAACTTTTGAATGGTGGTGTATATAATCGGGGATCATTTTTAGTAACTTCCCATGAGGAAAGAAAAATCCTAAATGAGATCTCTATGCATCTTCTGAGCGTTGAAAAGATAGCTCTTATGATGCCTATAAACGTGATAAGATGTTTCACAGTCCCGGAGTCTTACAAATTGCTGCTTTTGCATAATGCAGTAATACCAAGCTCATTTCTTTTTTTATAACGTATAAATTACTTTCACCTCCCTTATAAACGGGGTCTATGATGAATGATGTGTGATTCTATCATTCTATACATCAATCCTGAGTTATGAAATGAACCAGTTATAATACAGGAGATTTGGTCCACATTATGGCCGCCTGTGGTTTATCCATTAAAATAAAAAAAGTTTGACCCTCTGTTATTTCATCTCATCACTTTCAAAGAAAGTTATATGTAGGTTTGATTAGTTGGTTGCAATGAACATTTGCAAAATGCAACATTAAATATTCACATCCTAAGATTGGAATATTTGTCCTGCACTCTGTCTCCGTCACGGATCAGAGCTTTCCATAGCTTCAGGCTATGTGTGGCGTTATATATATGCAGATCTACTGACTGCTGTGAGATCAACAGAGAGAGAGAGGCCAAAATCCTGTTGCGAAGCTACCAGGACATCCAGTACAAACCAGCAGCCACATTTATAAAACACTCATACAATCACATTTGATCTTAAAATTGACTCTATTTTAAAAGTTAGGCGGAAACTGACACGAAAATGTAATTCAAACATTCACTATTCAAAAGTCTGGGGTCAGTGAGTTTTTTTATTCAACAAGGGTGCATTAAATTGATCAAAAATAAAGACTTTTATAATATTACATAATAATTCTATTTCAAATAAATGATAGCATATCGATACCTACAATGATTCTATACATCTTTATAAATGAGGCCTGAATTGAGCATGAAGTCTTCCAAGGACTAAAAACTCAATATAAAACGAAGACTAATTAGTTTCAGCGTATTATCTTCATTTTCTATTAAGATTAGGTGGACGGAGCCAGCAAATTTCTGCTATTGTTTCACAAGAACGTCTCTATTAGTATTCTGTTAATTAGTCACTTAGCAGACACTTTAGTCATTTACAGTACTTGCAGATAAAGCAATCCGGCTTGCTTAAGGGCATGAGACTTATAGGGCACTGCAGGAGATCTCTATTCCATTTCTAAAGTTTTAACCTCTGCCCTTTGTGATACCAGCCTAAAGGCTTCACCACTAGGACACCACATTATTCAGTTCATTTGACTTTAATCCACACACCTCAGAAAAAACGTTCTGTCATGTTGCGTGTGGAATTTAAATGGGTTTGAATGTTTGCGAATGCTAGGTGACATAGAGGGACAGTCTACGTTTGGATTAGCGGCGTGTTGCTCTTGCCCTTACGACAACAATTTCAACTGTTATCACACATCTTACAAAATCCGAAAAAATAGGGAAGTGGGATGTCTGTTTATTTCAATAACATTTACAAATTTTGTGTAGCCAAGCTTTAAAGAGCTATTTAGCCTGATGGTGGACCGTCACTCAGAAGACACAATATGTTGTTATTGTAGCCTATCCTATCTTTATATCCTCCTGAGGCCCAGAACGTTTTTTTTCTTCTTATTCTTCATGTAATCACATTGTTAAGAGCATAAGAAACAAATAAAAAAAAAGATATTTTATTCATATGTTATGCTATGACCTCTGTAGTGGACACCAGGACTCGATTGTTTAACAAATAAAAATGACATGAAATTATATATAGGCAAAAATCGATAATTATTATTTTTATTAAATTCCATTGATATCTGAATTTATGTCAAAACATAGACTTTCAAACATCAAAACGTAATTTATTAATATGTATTCATTTACAAAATGACATATAAACATAGTTTCCTATTGTTTCCAAGGCTACATTTACTTGACAAAAATACAGTAATATTGTAAAATAACTGCTTTCTATTTTAATACATTACAAATAATAATTTATTCCGGTGATGGGTTACTCCAGTCTTCAATGTCACATGATCCTTCTGAAATCATTCTAATAGGCTGATTTGCTGCTCAAGAAACATTTCTTACTGTTATCAATGTTGAAAACACTTCTTGATGTTTTTGTGGAAATGGTGATCTTTTTTTTGTAATCAAAGAGAAAGTTCAAAAAGAACAACATTTATTTAAAGTAGAAACCTTTTGTAACATTATAAATGTCTTTACTCTAACTTTCGATTACTTCAATGCGCCCTAGCTGAATAGAAGTACTAATTTCTTTAAAAAAAACATCTTACTGACTCCAATTGTTTGCTATCCACAATAATGTATGATATTTATTTTTTTCACAGTAATTTAAACGTATCGTATGTGATTTCGTGTGTCAAAAGGTGTTTTGTGTGTCCTATAAGACTATCTGACTATACCAAAAACCGTCTAAACTCTCGCTGTCCTGTCCAAACCGCATGTGTGTGTGTGAGCCAGGTAACCCAGCTGGCCGAGGGAAAGATCAATTGTTCACTTCGGTTGATTAAACAGGACTGTTTGCCTGGAGACAAACCTTTGCCTTGTTGTTTCTCCCGTAAGCTATTATGCATTCAAAACGTGTCGCATTCACACGTTTTCGCATTCATGCTGTGACCAGGTTGCGCGTGTGTTTGTGCATATGTGCATTTGAGGGCACAACCTCGAATCTGATTGGGCCGCTTCATTACCTTCAAGGCCGTGATCACACTGGGCGGATAGCTCAACCCGACCATGTTGGAGGTCCGTCGGTACATCCTGTCAGAAAGAGATAACGCACTTCTGTCAGTGTGTGAGAGCTTCTTGGAAGTGAAAAAAGGGGAAAAATCCCTTGTTTTTCTCCAGATGCCCTTTAACATTAATATTTTCGGAGCATGCCGTGCTGGAAACATAACACAAGATAGGAAATGCACAGCAGGGTCACAGGTCAGTCCAGATCAATCGATTCAGCCAGTCAGTCCCTGTTTAAAATGTATCAGCTCTGGATCAGTTCTTTGAAAGTATATAGGGTATAAATTAGTTTGCTTTATACTGCTAGCCTTGGATACAAACCTTTCTACAAATATCCCAGCTTGCACCGCGTGCACAATGCTGCGAAATCGCGGCTTCTCCTCCGACCGTCTCAACATCAGCCCCATCTGACGTGTGAAAGTTGATGCCAACCAATCACGCACTTCTGAGGGAACCGAGTCGGACTGGATGTCACTGAGCTCATCTTCTGTATCCACCAACCGCCTGCAGAAACACACACACACACAATTATAAGACACGATTGCTGTCTGAAATGGGTAAGTCATGTCACTTCCGATCACGTCAGATGAAATTTCAGCCAAAACGCCTGTGAGCAAAAGTGATGGATAAAAATATACAATTCCAATTCAAAGACAAAGAAATACAAACTAACATATCTGATCACCTAAACACAACTTATAACAGTATGGAAGCCCATTTCTGCCATGTTAAAAAATATCATGATTTGGTAAATGATATAAAAAATAATTATAAGATTAAATGCATAAAATTACATTCATAATTATGGTACAAAGCCAGATGAAGTCATAATTGTAAGTAATGTAAAAAGTTGAAATTATGACAAAATGTCAAATTCATGGCAAAAGTCATAGTTTTATGGCAAAAGTATAGAGATAAATTCAACTTTGTCATAATTATGAGTCATGAAATAATTTAGTCTTTGTCATAATTTTTATCTGTGTTTGAGTTTTACTAAGATTTGGTTTTTGAGTCAGTGAGTTGATCATTAGAACCCATTAGTCAGATTCACGACTGAATCATTTAAACTGGTTTTGTGAAAAGAATCAATTTGTTCAATGAAAAGAAAAAAGTCGGGCATTGACAATTCTCTCATAAACATGCCAAGAAAAGGGTGGATGTCGAGTCTTTCTGCTAATAATTACTGTGTGATTTGTTCCTCTCACAATGTTATATATGGGAAACACAATATAGCATAGAGATGAACCATAGTATGTACTATATTTATGATACTTTTATGGTGTATTACATGGTTTTTGAAGACTGAAAGCCCCATTCATTGCAAATGCATAGAAATCAACAACAACAAAAACATGTACATTCTCTAAAATGGATAAAAAAAAAGTCAAAGATGTTTGGAAAAACATGAGGATGAGTGAATAAATATAGACTTTTGTCTTTAATTTGATGCATGGCACATTTCCTTCTCAGATGGTGGCCAAATTTTCAATTTTGTCTAAACAACTGAAACAAACCACATTAAATACTGGAACACTCATTACAGCGGGAAGACAGCATTGCAGACCTGCAATCTGTCTTCTATCCTTATTTTAAATCAACAAGGGGGTTTAAGAGCAGCTTTAGGGATTAAACTACAGTATAACACACTCTAGGAACGACATCTACCTCTGACACCTGACATCTGACCCCAAATGTGATGATTTAACATGTGAGGATATTCACAATGTGCGTCAGAGTTGTGCTTACCTTGTCTCTTCAATATAGACAGACTCCAAAACGGATGCAGCATATTCTAGGTTTTTCTTCAGGTCCACAACAGAAGCCTCACCTCTCTCCAACTGTTTCACCAAACATCTCAGCCTGAAATAGAAAAAAAAAAGACAAAAACTGATTAGGAAAAATGTTATATTTGGATGTTACGGGTCTTTTGTCATTACATAAATACAATAAAATGTAGATTCAAACCAAGTCTTGATGTAGATCGGATTCAAATTTTTGCAGTTTGAGGCAAGTTTAAGTTTTTCAGTAAAGTCTTTAAAAGTCAGTTTAAGCCCAAACTGTGAACACACTGTGTTTGGTTTTGGGCTACCGAATGCATTTTAGACCAAAAAGAACAGATTCATCCATCATTTTTATTGCTAAAGATGATAAAAGAGTTTTTTATTGCTGACAGTCTCCAGATTCTTTTCACTACTCCGAAATGAACTGATGTGAATAAGCTGGAAGTGTTCAGCTGTTATCTAAACCAACTGAAAGTGTATTTTAATAAAGATAAACTGCGAAACACCTGCTTTGTCTTAGTTGCTAAACAAAAGTTATTTAGGCAAACGTATTTTATACTTTTTAAGCAGCATTTTTTTCTCTGGATTCCCACTGGTCAAAAAATGAGCAGCGTGAAGTGCGCTAGCTACATGGCTGTAATTCACTGTTTTGTTTATGAGCAACATAAAGCATCTCTGAAGTGATCTTCACTCATGCGGACAAAGGGCCACATCAAAAGGCCAACAGTGATGTCCCAGGTGTGAGCAGCAGAGAGACATTTTTCTGTATGGGTCTGGGTGTTTGCATGAATGGAGAACACAGGAAACAATTTGACCCAATTCCCATCCCAAATGACTGGACCACGCGGGCCAGAGCAGCATGCAGTGATGAAGCAGGGTGAAATCATGCAGTTAATCCACTGTGCACTTAAATTCATAGTTCTGTTCAATCATGTGCTTTTCTAGTGCAGCAGCAGGACTCTGCAATCGGAATCTGCTGATTAACTTTTGACAGGGTACTGTTCATATTTTTGGACATGGCACCATGAAAATTCCATTGTATTCCTCAGAGTTCCATGTAAATAGTATGCGATATCAATATGCAAATGTTTGATTGATTGTACTGTATATACGATAATACACTGACATTCATATACTATTGTATTCACAAAAATACATATTACTGTAAATGTCCCTTCTAAACATGGTAACTCCACACTCTTAGAAGAAATGGTTCTATTTAGAACCAGAAATGGTTCCATCCCCCGATTCATATATGGAACTCCAAAATGGTTCTATATAGAACCATTTTTTTTGTGTGTAAAAGGTACTACTGGCCAAGTATGGAACCCCAGGGTTCTATATAGAACCCAGAGTAACCCCTTTTTTTAAGAGTGTATTGAACCTTTTAGGGGTTCCAAATACGTAGCGCTGATAGAACCTTTTAAGGTTCTATAGAACCTAGTGGTCCAAATATCATGTTAAAAACAAACCAAAAAAAGCCAACATTGTAGTACAATGGTAATTACATGGCAATAACATGGTAGTACCATGCAACATGTCTAAAAATCATGGTAAAAACTAGTTAAAAAAATTATCAACGTTGTAGTACAATGGCACGTTTTGTGAACAAAAAATAACCGCAAATAAAAATAACATATACCAGTGTTTATTCCATACTGGTTTGAATGATGAATACAGACTCAACCAGTCATATCTGATAAACTAAACGCACATCATTTGTTTCTTTACTTTTTTATTTTAATATTGATTATTACTTTGAAGTGTTTAAGTGAGGAAAAAAAAGGTTTTGGTAACAAATTAGCATTAAATTTGTAAAAAAAACAAACAAACAGTTCTGCGACAGTGCGGATACTGATCATAAAAATGGAATAATAAAATAAATGAACAAATATTTACATTGGTCGGTTTAGGAGTAGCTTGGGAGTATGTCCATTTCTATAAAAAAAAAAGTCACCTTGTGACTTTCCCCTCAATGGTCTCCTGTCTTCTCTCTTCGAGCGGTTAGCAGCTGTGTTATTTGAATGAAGTGCTCTCGTTCAACTGAAAAGCGTGACGTCGGAACCAGGGTCGAGGACATGCTGTTTGAACAATGTTATCAAAACAGACGAGGCAGAGCAGAAACACATTCCCCTGGTTCCCCAAGGAATCCCCCGCTTCAGACAAACACGCAATCGATGCACCAATTCAATGACATCCCATTAGAGGATTAGTACTTCCTAGAATCTGTCTGGAGCAGAAATGATAAGAGCAAAAATTCTTTAAGCGTGCACATCCGCTCGGCCACGACTGCTCAATATATGACCTTTCTAATACAGAGAAAGAGCCAGATTAGATGCTTCTGATTAAATCATTAGACCACGGGATCGGATTTAGTAAGCATGTTTCAAATGAAGGACTGCATCAGAATTATGGGCTAAAGGAATGTGTGTAAGCCCTGATTTCTGAGCTCTGTAATATCAGGGATATGCTGAAACACATCAACGGGATGTAGCTGAATGCTACAGGGAAATTGACTTTTAATGTCCATCTAACAGACAGGTGTCAAGTGGAAACTGCTTTTATTGATTGTGTGTTTTTGTTCTTAAAACGACATGCGTTGTTGATAAGGATGGATTATGATGTCACTAGCACAACGTTTTCCACAGCATAATTTGAGTTTGCAAAATGCAAAATTTGCAATTGTACTAATACACAACTAATGGGCTGGTACGAGTATTTCAGAAACGGCTGACCTACTAGGATTTTCACACACAAGCATCTCAAACTGGTTTCTTGACAATAAGTTCACTATACTCAAATGGCCAACACAGTCACCAGATCTCAATCCAATAGAGCACTTTTGGGATGTGGTGGAACGGGAGATTCGCATCATGGATGTGCAGTCGATAAATCTGCAGCAACTGTGTGATGCCATCATGTCAAGTCAAGTCACCTTTATTTATATAGCGCGTTATACAATACAGATTGTTTCAAAGCCGGGATAAACAGGAAAATAACGATTCAATGACGCATAAAAAAACTCAATTCTGCAATAAAGCAGCTCTAAAAAGAAAAGAGTGTCAGATCAGCTGAGGTCAGTTCGGTTTTAATTCAGTTCAGATCAAAGACTGAGTACATCACTCTAAAAAATGCTAGGTTGTTTTAACCCAATTTTGGGTAAAATATGGACAAACCCAGCCATTGGGTTACATTTTTAAATTACATTTTTAGCCCAATGGCTGGGTTTGTCCATTTACCTAAAATTGGGTTAAAACAACCCAGCATTTTTTTAGAGTGTGATATAAGTTCAAAGTCATTAAGTATGACTGTGTGCATGCAATGCATTGGCCATGCATTCGTGACTGCATTTGCATATTTGCATTTGCACAGAGTATGTGTGTTTGGCCGAAGGCGAACTCTGTATGCAAATATCAATCTATTCAATGCTCATTCACTGTCATATTTTGTCTGACACACTTACAAATTCTGTTGTGTGAACAGACCAGCAGTGATATCACACACTAGGCTTCCTGTTCATTGCAGCTTCTAAAGAGTGCCGATGACTCATCATGAATGTTTGACTTCTGATAAACTCTCTAGCCTAAGGGGTTACATGACTGCAATCTCTTAAAGAAGGACTTCTATGCGCAACTCTATAGCTCTACAAAAACTCATGAGTAAAAAAAAAACTTATATACTAACTTCCCATAGACAGCAATTTCCAGCATTCCCACGGTGCAAAAATATTGTTGGTTTAATTTAAAAATGAAGTAACCTGGTTGCCTTAAAATTTTTAAGTTCATTGAAATGAAAAAAATTGAGTTAATACATTGGAGATTGATTTAATCATCAGAAACTCAAAATGTTATGTTATCTGAACTACAGTACGTAAATTATTTAAGTTGATTTGACAAAAGAAAAATGTTGTGATTACAAATCATGAAAATATATATTTTTTTTTACAGTGTAAGCAACATTAATGATTTTGCTTCCTAAGGTAACTTTTTTTAGCCAAATGTGCAACTGTGTCTGTGTGTGTGTAAATTTGAATAATAATAAATAAATATACTTTTTAATTTATATATTTATATATAATTTATTTTTTAATTTATTATTTACACACAAATACTGTATATTCAAATATACAATATAAATAATATATTAAAATATGATAAACACACATGTATAAAAATAAAAACTTTAGTGTATATTTGTTAAATAGTTTATTTCATTTAAAAAAAAATGTTCTTGTATATTTACAGACTTGGATGGGAATAACCTTGTCGTGTAAGTGCTGAAGTCTGTGCAGAGGCTCCAGATCTCAAAGGCGTCACAACCAGATTGCTCAATGGAGTATCTGATACAGCATGAACAGGGAAACGCTATTAAAATGCAGACCTCAGGAGAGACGAGACGATGTGTGGGCTTCCTTGTCTGCTTTTTTCACCTCTATGACTCCGCAAGGTCACTTTTAATCCTTCCTTTAATCTTGTCTCCCACCTTTTCCTTTCTCTTTTAATGTATCACACACACACACACACCCACACACACAAATGTATTGCCCGCTTTGCCAAAAACCAACACATCCCCTCATCCTTTCCCCACGCTGAGAGATCTCCATCTTTCTTTCTCCACAAAAGGTCAGTGGACGGTCTGCTTTAAGGTCAGTCATTGAAGATATGAGCCATTATGCAGCATGTTCTCACGTAAATGCGTCTCTATAGCACGCATTGTGTTTTATCATGCAATTTAAACGCGAAAAATAGCTTTTACGTGCATATGATACACAGTTTTCGCGTGCATTTGATATGCAGTTCATTTGCGTGCATACACACGCACCCCACATTCTACCCAAACGTATAATACACACACACACACACCCCACACCACTACTAAACCTACCCTAACCAACCCATGCGTATCCAATGCACGTAAAAACTCATTTTCGTGTATAAATTGCAAGATAAAGACGAGACGCATTTAGCGTGATCGGGTTGCATTATCACACTTTTTGAGTTTTACGTATCATTGAAATGGCAGAAGTTTCCTTCTTGAAATTGACACTCATATCTAAGCAATTACGAATTCTACTTAGGA